TGGGTGTTCTGAATCATTTAAGATTTTTTGTGTTTCGATTTCCTGTATATCTAAATATGTTTAGTGAAAGGTAAAACTTCCGAAATCTCTGTGTAAACAATGAGTGACGTCGACACTTCCGGCGAAACGTTGGGCATGGTTCAGTTTAGACAACTAATTCAGATCTCTTGGACGTGACTGAATATAAGAGGTAAAAACGATATAAATACTGTTCGTTTTCTCACACAAACCGCTCGTTTCGTGTCTCAGGCCATCAATGTGTACTTACATTTACGAGTCATTAAATCATGTTTAATTTGGACTTCTCTGTGCATGCTCTTTGAGGTGGTGACCATAGACCTCCATTATATGACTGACAGACAAGAACGGTTTGACCTAAAAATATCAAAATTGAAAATACTGCGGAAACAAAGACACCTACATCTTGGATGCCCTTGAGGTAAGCTGAAACATACCAAAAATTAATTTCAAAGTGAGCTATCCCTTTAAGAACAATGGTTGGTCTAAATGCACTGCCCACCTTAACCTCTTGGGGTTATAAGCTGCACAACGGTTTACAACATTGATCATAATCAGAAAGTCACAGGATCAGTCACAGGATCATGTGACTGAAGACTGGAGGACGGGGATAAATTAAACAGAAAAAAGTAATATTTCACAATATTCCTGAATTTGCTGTATTTTTAATGCAGCCTTGATGAGCTTAAGACTTCTTTCAAAAATGTACCGACCCCAAACTTACCAAACAGTGGTGTACGTTTAACCATGGTGCTTTAAGATAAATATTGTCGTCAAGTTATTGTATGGCTTCAGATTACTTTTAGTATAGTACTTTTTGATAATCTGTTGACATTTCTCCCCAGTCTCTATTTATTTACTCTCAATGTCGGCCTGATATCTTCTTTTCTGTTCGATGTTTAGAATGACACGATGGAGAGTAACTTATGACAAAACCTTCATTATTAGGTGAACTATCCCTTTAACTCAGGCCGAGCGAAGCCAGTCTGTGTTGCTTGGCTGGATTCCTTTCTATTGCATTTGAATTTCCCTTATTGTGTAATGAGACTGTAACAGGTCCAATAAGGGCATCAACCTGACTCAGCTGGTTTGTAATGTCTTTAAACGTCTTTACGTCTTTAATTCAATCCTAAAGCTGCTGTAATTGCTTGTTTTCCAGTCTCACTGAAAACAGAACATCAAATTCATCCACCTGCAGTTTCCTGGAATAAGATGCACCTGTGGCACTGCATACACACACACATTTTCAAACTCAAACTCAATTTCAAAGTATTATCTCAGAACAAGGCTGTCTGGTCGTATACACACACGCACACATGATAACACACAAAAGCACACCCAAAATCAATTTCGAAATGATCTTTTTTTTTTCTATTTCATCTGAGGCACTCACAATAACACATTCAGTCGCTCATAGTCATTCTGTAAAGCGCCGTGGAACGTGTCCTGTCAAAAATAACCATTGAACTGAAAATAACACAAACTGCCTCTGAAAAGACGGTAAAAGTCTCTGAAAATCACATGTGCTTTGAGCCTCAGATGGGTTTGAGCTACAGTACTGACTAGGCCTGTCATGATTCCTATAAAGATACAATGAAAATATGATTAATAATGACAATAATAATACTAATATTTAGGGATGTGCACGTGAAGATGACTGACAGCACAATGTCTGTGGAAGTCTTTGACATATACCGTATCTTATCTTGTAAAAAGTGTGGTACCTCCTCTCCCTTTACACAGAGTACGCGTGATCGCGAATTAGAAAGTAAAATTGAAAAAGCGAGTGTGCATTCAAAAGTGATTTCAATACACCGAATGTTGATTGCAGCTTTCTGATACCCAAAAATTATAAACAATATAATTGCGAGAAAACACAAAAGCATTAAAATATTTGTTTTCCTCCCATCTCGTATTTTTTTCCATCACAACTGTCCCTTCAGGGCCTCCGTAGAATGCGTCATTTCCCTTCCGAACACACACTCTAAAAAATGCTGGGTTGTTTCAACCCAAATTTGGGTCAAATATGGACAAACCCAAATGTTGGGTTAAAAATGTCCTTAAATTTACAGTTGAAAGTGAAAGTTGAAGTTTGAAATTACATTTTTAACCCAACATTTGGGTTTGTCCATATTTGACCCAAATTTGGGTTGAAACAACGCAACATTTTTTAGAGTGTAGTATTTGGCTTCCGGCAAATCCCTACTAATAATAAACATTATGTTAACAATATAATATTATATATTAATTGTATAATAATTATGCACTTTGAAAGCACCAAAGTGGTCTAAACCATAGATATGTATACATAGATCCACATTCGACTGCTCCAGACACGTACGTCGGCGCCCGCCAGCTTGGATCGGTCAAGTTTTTGTCACTCTCAGACAGTAAGAACCAAAAAAAAAATGGGATAACCTTTCACATGCTGGTGAGAATGTGTTGGTTTGTGTTTTTATATGTATTAACTCAATATTACAGGTTTTTATGGTACGTTTTAATGATTTTTTAATGTCGTGTTAGCTGATGCCTTTGATAATTTAGCAAAACCATCTGCTGAAGTCTATATATTGATATAGATATCCATTCATGCGGTTGCAAAAGCTCAGTCAACTTGCTTTGATCGTAACAATATGGCAGACGGCTTGCGTATAGGGGCCCATAGGCACAGAATCTATGTACAGTATATATGCATATCTATGGTCCATACGCTGTAAAAAAAAGAAAGATTTTGTCAAAATTGTAAATAAAACAAAAATAATATATATAGAGTTCTTTAATATTTCACATTTACTATTACTTGCTGTTCCATTGTATGTATTTGTGAAATTTTAGCAAATTTCTGTGTATTATTATTTGTTTTTAATATATCCTACAAGTGTACGACTTCACATCAACAACATCAAGTGTTCTCACGTCAAACCTGCGCCATATTTTATACTTTTATAGTGTTATTTTATTTATTTAATTTGTGTCTCTCAGAAAAAAAGGTACAAAAGCTGTCACTGGGGCTGTACCTTTTCAAAAGGTACACTTTTGTACCTTAAGGGTGCATATTGGTACCTTATGGTACATATTAGCACCTAAAATTAACATATATCAACACTTAAACTGCACGTATTAGTACCTGAAATGTACCTATTAGCACCTATTAGCACCTAAAATGTACATATCAACACTTAAAATGTACATACTAGTACCTGAAATGTACATATTAGCACCTGAAATGTACATATTAGCACCAAAAATGTACATATTAGCACATAAAATGTACATATTAACACCTAAAATGTACATATCAACACTTAAAATGTACATATTAGTACCTGAAATGTACATATTAGCACCTGAAATGTACATATTAGCACATAAAATGTACATATTAACACCTAAAATGTACATATCAACACTTAAAATGTACTTATTATTACCTGAAATGTACATATTAGCACCTGAAATGTACATATTAGCACCAAAAATTTACATATTAGCACATAAAATGTACATATATTAACACCTAAAATGTACATATACACACTTAAAATGTACATATTAGTACCTGAAATGTACATATTAGCACCTATTAGCACCTAAAATGTACATATCAACACTTAAAATGTACATATTAGTACCTGAAATGTACATATTAGCACCTGAAATGTGTATATTAGCACATAAAATGTACATATTAACACCTAAAATGTACATATCAACACTTAAAATGTACTTATTAGTACCTGAAATGTACATATTAGCACCAAAAATTTACATATTAGCACATAAAATGTACATATATTAACACCTAAAATGTACATATTAGTACCTGAAATGTACATATTAGCATCTGAAATGTACAGCACCAAAAAATTACATATTAGCACATAAAATGTATATATTAGCACATAAAATGTACATATTAACACCTAAAATGTACATATCAACACTTAAAATGTACATATTAGCACCTGAAATGTACATATTAACACTTAAAATGTACATATTAGCACCTAAAATGTACATATCAACACTTAAAATGTACATATTAGCACCTAAAATGTACATATTAGTACCTGAAATGTACATATTAGCACCAAAAATTTACATATTAGCACATAAAACGTACAAATTAGTACCTAAAATGGACAAAAGTGTACCTTTTGAAAAGGTACAGCCCCAGTGACAGCTTTCATACCTTTTTTCTGAGAGTGTATAGTGTTTTTTATGTTAGATTTAATTGATTTATTTTTCCTTTTTGGAGCTGGATAGCCGCAACTATTAAAAGATCTATGAGAAGATTCTTCAAAATGTCTACTTCCTCCAGAAATACGTATTACTGGCATATGGGTTAATAAAGATAAATAATAACAGCAGATAATCGCCTTGTCGACTGCTTTCCCTAATTGTTAGTAACATTGACAGGATCCGCCCGGCTCCTCCTCAAACCAATCCCGTCCTCGGGATCTTTCCGTTAGCCGCTCTGACTCCACTTCAACCCCTCCCCGAAATTCCCAGCTGCTGCGCTCACCCCATATACAGAAGCGATCATTCCCAGCTCACTTCCCATGATTCCCAGTCAGCCCTCATGTTTCAGCCATTCAGTCAGAGCAGAACGAGACATGCTCATCTAACACCAGACAAGTCTTTGATATACAACACACTAGGACTGACATGGAGAAGTTCCACCACAAGAGTTTAGACAGTCCTGGAAAGACGGATAAGTGTAGTGTTCACATTGACACATCCGGATTTAATCAGTCTTTGGTGGGCAACGGGAAAGGATTATTTAGAAGCCACTGTGATCATCTCCACACTGTCACTTTGCACTATGGATCTGGGATTTAATCAGATGCAGACTGCAATAGGCTGTGCATTTCAAGAAAACGCGGATGTGACAAACTGTTTGTAAGCATCGCTGTACAATGTACCCAGAGTGCGTACAATAGCAATAATTGCTTGGCTTTATGTGTCTCCTGTCCCATTAGCCACCAGTTCGGCCCACCTGGAGGACTTGGCCTATTTGGATGAGCAGAGACACGCGCCCCTGCGCACCTCCCTGCGGATGCCCCGCCAGAACTCGTCCTCGGGACGCTCCGGGCAGGACCTGCGAGGTGAGCATCGGCCTGTATAGTGTGTGTTCAGTCGATTTATATCACCGTGATCCTGTGCATGGATGCCAACTCACAAATATATTTGCTTTGATGTCCAAAAATTGTCCACAGACCCGCGTTTAGCCTCATTCTCTCACACGAGTGTGTGTGTGCTGCGTCTCTGTCTCTGTGAGTTAATGTCTGTGTGTCTACTGAGACGCTGCGTTTAACCTCGACACTCAAAAATGTAGCATTTATGTATTTGAATTGCATATAAAATTTGGATTACACCGTTTTAACATAAACGTAATATGATGCATATTTGTCAGTCTTACATAAATGAAACTATTCTAAATGAAAATACTATTTGTGTAATAGTACTTTAAATACACAATAACCAGCTTTATTTATTTATCATCAGTAAATCCAATTTGTTTCAATCTCATACATATTTCTTGTTTCACAGTTCTTACTTCTTTTCATTTTTACATTGAATGGATTTATGCTGATTCTAATAATTTAGGGTCTAATTCTCCCTATTAACTACGACTTTTGCCTCAATAAACTGCTAATTACTTCTTATTAATAGTTATTAAGTTTGGGTAATGGGTGATTAAGGGATGTAAAATATGGTCATGCAGAATAATGCATTAGTATGTGCTTTATAAGTACTAAAGGAGTAGTTCACTTTAAAAAAAAAAAAAACTTTTGCTGATAATTGACTCACTCCCATGTCATCCAAGATGTCCACGTCTTTCTTTCTTCAGTCGAAAAGAAATTAAGGTTTTTAATGAAAACATTCCAGGATTTTTCTCCATATAATGGACTTCAATGGGGTCCAAACTGTTCAAGGTCCAAAAGACAGTTTCAGTGCAAACTGCAAACTGTTCAAAGGGCTTTAAACGATTTCAGACGATGAATAAGGGTCTTATCTAGCGAACGATCGCTCATTTAAAAAATAAATCGCAAAGTTTAAGTTTTATAAGCTCAAATGCTCGGCTTGCTCTGTTCTGTGATGCGCGTTCGTGACTCTCCTGTTCGAACTCGTTCATCAAAATGAACAAATCTTTTTTCATTCAACGAACTAAATGAACAAGTTGACTCAGGAAAAGATTCATTCATTTTGATGAATGAGTTCGAACAGGAGAGTCACGAACGCGCATCACAGAACAGAGCAAGACGACCATTCGTGCTTATAAAACTTAAACTTTGTTATTTATTTATTAAATGAGAGATCGTTTCGCTTGATAAGACCCTTATTCGTCATCTGGCATCGTTCGTGACTGCCCTGTTTGAACTCGTTCAGTCATTTGGTTCATTCAACGAACGAAACGACTCGAAAAAAGATTTGTTCAACAACAAAATGTACCGTTGATTAAAATGCTAACTTTGATATTACATTGTGTGTGTAAATGAATAGTCTTGGACTTGGTGCTGGAAACCCAAAGCACAGGACAATAGAGACAACAGAATAACAATAGTCACGATTCTGAAGCTGGAAATACAGAATTATTTTTGCACTCTGTCAAAATAATGTGTGCGGAATTTCGAGGTTTGACTGACAGGTCAGGATCCAATGAAGTTACGAGGTTAAATCACACGCTCTTTTTAATACTTTTCATTGGTTAAGCAAAACCCACAGAAAGATGTGAAGGCTGACCAGTAGTTGATTTATGAAAAGAAATTAAAAATGACGAAATATGGAGATACAAGGTTTCTCTACAGCAACAATATGCAGTTTAAATTAGGGCTGTGCAAAAGTTAATTGCGATTAATCGCATCCAAAATAAAAGTCTGTGTTTACATAATATATTTGTGTGTGCAGTATATAATTATTTTGTATATATAAATACACACACATGCATGTATATATTTAAGAAAATATGTTATTCATATATAAAATATTTATATTTATATAATATAGATTATGTATTTATAAATATATACAGAATTTAAGCACAAATAATTCTTAAATATATACATGCATGCATAGGTATTTATATATAGAAAATAATTATATACAGCACACACAAATATATTATGTAAACACAGACTTTTATTTTGGATGCGATTAATCGCAATTAACTTTTGCACAGCCCTAGTTTAAATACATAAATCTTAAATTCAGGGACTGAATATGTTTTTTGAGTGCTAAACATGCTCATATAAAGAGAGTAGAAACTGATTTAACAGACTCGGTCCACTGGGTGAGGAGGACACATCTCAGCACACACACTTCATCTTCATCAGCTAATGAGGAATCCAGGGCCTTGGCATGACCTCGAATCCTCCTTTCCCCAGACGCACACACACACACACACACACACACACACATGCCTGCTGGTCTGCTGAGCCACTCTCACCTGGTGAATAATTAAAACAGCTCTCTGCATCCGGTTCGCCATCAGGAGAGAGAACGCAAAGGTGACTCTCATGAAATGATATGGATTATTATTAAACAGAGCCGCGAGGAACCATCGTCCTGACGGCAACTAACGGTTAAACTCAAGCCCAACATCAGAGACATGTTTTAGCCACAAAACACACACACGTCTGGTTTACTATCTTTGTGAGGGCTCTCCATAGACGAAATGGTTTTAATACTGTACAAACTGTATATTTTATCCCCTTACACTAACCCTATCTCTAAACCTGCCCATCACAAGAAACATTCTGCATTTTTACATTTATTCTGTATGATTTATAAGCGTGTTTACCTCAATTTAGGTCCCCATGAGTCTGTGTGCATTCAGGTTTAAGTCCACACCAGGATAGAAAAACATGTACACACACACTTGTTAAATAACTATAATGGAATTAACAAGGCAACAACAAACATTCAAATTTCATTTGATAAATTAGTTTAGCTGAAGAAAAAATCTAATATTGTGTTGCAAAAATAGCTAATATTTATAACCCAGATTAAACCAGTTAAGATTAAATACTTTATAGAAGTTTAGGGATTTTCTAATGTTTTTAAAAGACGTCTCTTCTGCTCACCGAGCAAAAAGTAATATTCAAAAACGAATTACAGTAATGAAAAAGTAAAATAAATATTCACTATATAATATTGCGATTTTAAATGTTTTCTATGTGAATATATGTTAAAATGTAATTTATTCCTGTGAAATCAGAAATCACTCTAATATGATGATTTGCTGCTCAAGAAACATTTATGATTATTATCAGTGTTGAAAACAGTTTTTTTTTCACGATTATTCAAAGAATATAAAGTTGAAAAGAGCAGCATTTATTTGATATTGAAATCTTTTGGAACATTATAAATGTCTTTAATGTCATTTTGATCAATTTAATGTGTCCCATTCATTTCCTTCAAGACAAAAATCTGACCCTATTTTGAAATACTGAAGAGAAAAACTTATTTACTCGGAGAACTGGGGAATGTTTGAACGGCGAACGATTAAAAAAACGGTGAATATAGTTTTTTTTCTCTGTCAGTGAACATTGCGTCCACAAATGCGGTCGAGGGAGTTTAACTGGTATTAAACACACACTGTAACATTCTTTTAAACATAACATAACTACAGCACTTTACTGAAACACTATCTCTGCTCATCATGATTGTCCTGTGTGTGTGAGACGGCTTACTTCACCTCTTACATGGATTATAGCTCTCAATTACTGTCATGACTGATCCTTAAACCAGCGCTTGATCTGAACAACTGTGTGTTCAACGGTTTCTACCAGTACTAAATTATAGTAATGGTATCAAAACCACTGTAATGTTTGATTATCATATTCATTTAACTTGAGTTAATATTTCATACTTGTTGACATGAGTTAAAAGAAGCACATTTGTAGTTTGGTGTCGATGAAGAAGTACTTGTGAAAGTTCTGGCGGTCAGTTACTTGCCTTTCAGCAAATCAGACAGGACCACTAGGCTAATTAATTATAAATACGTCTTCCCTCGATTGACACATTGTGAAAGATGCAGTCACTTGAATGTCTTTAAAGGTCAGACTATCACCGTTTGAAAACCTTCATTTGTTCGTACTCACCGTTTGAAAACCTTCATTTATTTGCATTTGCCACTTAACAAGAGTAAACTTAAGATCTTTGGACCATGAAAGTGACGCTTTTAATACACAGATGTGACTTTATGTACTTAGCCTGTAATCGCAATTGTGGAAAATGATGTTTTTTCTAGGGCTGTCAAACGATTAATCGCGATTAATCGCATCCAAAATAAAAGTTTGTGTTTACATAATATATGTGGGTGCACTGTGTATAATTATTTACACACATGCTTGTATATATTTAAGAAATATTTTCATGTATATACTGTATATAGATTTATATATAATTTATATTATATTTTCTTAAATATACATGCATGTGTGTGTATTTATATATATAAAAAAATAATTATACACAGTGCACCCACATATATTATGTAAACACAAACTTTTATTTTGGATGCGATTAATCGTTTGACAGCCCTAGTTTTTTCCCTTTAATCCGTCTCTCATATCCTCACATCTCACCTGAATCCTCACACACTGCATATTTTTTTCTTTAGTTTGAGTGATTTGCTTTTTAAGTGCGAGCTCTCTCTCCCTCTCGCTCTCTCTCTCTCTCCTGTCGCCTGTCTGTGTCCGTCTCAGCTTCCGCTAACAGTCATGCCTGGCAGTCACAGTCACAGTCACGTAAGTGTGTGTTCCTGCACAGGCTGACCTGTGTCCTTCTGTAGTGTGTGAAATGTCTCCTTGTGTGTGTGCAGTAGTTGTGTATGATCTTCTGGAACTGTTGTATCGTTCTGTATTTTGTGATGTGGACGAATTAGTTGTCTAGTAGGTGTGGAAATGTGGAGCCCTATGAAATCAATTTTATTTATTTATTTTATTTTATGCTTCATTTTCCCAAATTTTTGTTTGCTATTATATTATATTATATTTGTTTATTTGTTTTATGTATATGTTTATATAATATAATGTTTATATTATATATGTTTATATAATAATATATAAAAGGTAATACATAATATATGTGGGTGCACTGTGTATAATTATTTTGTATATATATAAATACACACACATGCATGTATATTTAAGAAAAAAATATTATTTATATATAAAATATTTATATTTATATATAATATAAATTATATATAAATATATATACAGTATATACATGAAAATATTTTTTAAATATATACAAGCATGTGTGTGTGTGTGTGTGTATATATATATATATATATATATATAAAATAATTATACACAGTGAGTGCACCCACATATATTATGTAAACACAAACTTTTGTTTTGGATGCGATTAATCGTTTGACAGCCCTAATTATATTATATTATATTATATTATATTATATTATATTATATTATATTATATTATATTATATTATATTATATTATATTATATTATATTATATTATATTATTGCAGTGATTATTATGTTACTAGCATATTATATTTTTGGCAACAGTTCTCCTAACCCTATTTTTTTAGTGATAATAGGTTATTTATATAAAATGTTATTTATTATATGTACATAGAATATATGCATTATAATATAATATAATAAATTATTATGTATAATAATTATAGATCCATCCTATCCAATTTTTTTTCTTGAAAGACTCTTTTTAAAAATTAACAATTTAGTAAAACAATTGATTTAAAATAATTTATCCAAAATTGTAACATTTAATTTAATTTTAATAATATTTATTTAAATATTATAATTCAAATTTAAAATATTGATTTAAAAATAAAAAATATGTATTCATATGAGTCAAAAGAACAACAACAACATAACATTGCCATATTTTTTATGAATATTATATATTTCCCCAGTTCCACTTTGGCTTTCAAGGTAAATCATAGGGCCCTAGATGTGTCTTTCTGTGAGTGTACGTGTCTGTTGATCGATTTTTAAATGCATTTGGATTATTTGTGTGTGTTTGTGGAGGGTGCATGCGTGTGTGAGTGAATATTCTGATAATTTCTTATACTTCCTCTCCCCAGTGCGATTCGCTCCGTACAGACTGCAGGACATCGCTCTGAAGCCGCTGCTCTTCGAGGTGCCCAGCATCACCATGGACTCAGTGTTCACTGGCCGTGATTGGCTCTTCCAGGAGATCGACGCCTACCTCGGCTCCGCCCACTCCGGCACCAATCGCGGCGTGGTTCTGGTGGGCAACATCGGCTACGGCAAGACCGCCATCATCTCACGCCTCGTGGCGCTCAGCTGCCATGGCAACCGCATGCGACAGATCGCCTCTGACAGCCCGCAGGCCTCGCCGAAACGTAAGGTTTCAGATTACACACGGGACTTTTACAAAGTGTACTGACCAAAGCTTATATACTGTCTGTCAGCCGCGGTGTTTCTGTGGCACATTGAACTTGTCAAAAGCTAATTCAGGCAGTGAGTGTGTAACTCAATCACAAAATGAATCAACATATGCTCATAGCAAAAACTTACCTCGCAAATACGTTCCTTTACACACAATTCGCTGCAGTTTCCAGCTGAGATGTGACAAAACACCAACAGCATTTATTCCTTTTCACACAAATTAAGACTACAGGGTCAGATTATCGATTAATAAAGACTTATTTTTGTGTAGTTCCTTAAAGGGATAGCTCACTTTGAAATTAATTTTTGATGTGTTTTATCTTACCTCAAGGGCATCCAAGATGTAGGTGTCTTTGTTTCGGCAGCATTTTCAATTTTGATATTTTTAGGTCAAACCGTTCGTGTCTTTCAGTCATATAATGCAGGTCTATGGTCACCACCTCAAAGAGCATGCACAGAGAAGTCCAAATTAAACATGATTTAATGACTCGTAAATGTAAGTACACATTGATGGCCTAAGACACGAAACGAGCGGTTTGTGTGAGAAAACTAACAATATTTATATCGTGTTTACCTCTTGTAACCGCAGCCACAATGCGCCCTTGCCATCAGATCACTTGGACATGGCTGTGGTCCAAGTGATCTGATGAAGTGAAGTGATCTTCACTTTTAAAAAAAACTTGCTGATAATTTACTCACCCCCATGTCATCCAAGATGTCCATGTCTTTCTTTCTTCAGTTGAAAAGAAATTAAGGTTTTTGATGAAAACATTCCAGGATTTTCCCCATATAATGGACTTCAATGGGAACCAAACGGTTCAAGGTCCAAAAGACACTTTCAGTGCAAACTGCAACTGTTAAAAGGGCTTTAAACGATTCCAGACGATGAATAAGGGTCTTATCAAGCGAAAGATCGCTCATTTATTAAATAAATAACAAAGTTTAAGTTTTATAAGCACAAATGCTCGCCTTGCTCTGTTCTGTGATGCGCGTTCGGGACTCTCCTGTTCGAACTCGTTCATCAAAATGAACAAATCTTTTCCCGAGTCAACTCGTTCATTTCGTTCGTTGAATGAACCAAATGACACGAAAAAAGATTTATTCATTTTGATGAACGAGTTCGAACCGGAGAGTCACGAACGCACATCACAGAAAAGAGCAAGGCGACCATTTGAGTTTATAAAACTTAAACTTTGTTATTTTATTTTAAAATGAGTGATCGTTTCGCTTGATAAGACCCTTATTCATCGTCTGGAATCGTTTAAAGCCCTTTAAAGCTGCACTGAAACTCTCATTTGGACCTTGAACCGTTTGGTTCCCATTGAAGTCCATTATATGGAGAAAAATCCTGGAATGTTTTCATCAAAAACCTTATTTTCTTTTCGACTGAAGAAAGAAAGACATCTTGGATGACATGGTGGTGAGTAAATTATCAGCATTTTTTTTTTTTAAAGTGAACTACTCATTTAACTTTAACTGAGCTGTCGCGATGCTAAAAACATCTATTGTAATAAAACATTGCCAGATTCACGTTCATCTGCATAAAACTGGACATTTCACTTTGAGAGTGCCGTGGAACACTCAAGAAGCAACGTAATATTATTTTGCAGAAATGTCGCTTTCCAATGATCCTGTGATAAATATAATTCATTGTTTTCGTGTGTGTGGTCAGATGGAGAAGGCATCCCCCTCACACAACCACAGCCTTCCCATGGTACACTGGGAGGAGGAAGTTGCCCTGGAACTCCCGAAATGAGGAGGAGACAGGAGGAGGCCATGAGGAGGCTTGCGTCACAGGTACAATCACACACACACACACACACACACGGATTCTCACATTAATCTTCTCACAATAGATCGCGTTGACCGGTAGAATTGCTTCTGCTCACACACAAAAGGCCCGTCTTAACCTGTGTGGGTGTGCTGTCATGGTCTCAGCTATTGCATTATGCAGATATGTTTAAAAAAGAGAAGTTAGTTTGCCGTTAAGCCTCATAAAATATTTATTCAGGCAGAAAGCAATTTCCTTGCCATGCTACTAGATCTAGTTAAGTCAATGCATTAATAATCGACTCTCACATTCTACCCTTCTGTATGGTTTAAGCTCTTTAAAACATTTGTATGAGTAAATTAGTATTCTGATATGGTTCATCATCTCTCTGGCTGTCATGATTCTGCGTCTGATATATCGATTTTCCACAATCGTGCACATCAAACTGAATTATCATGCAGAGATGTGCACATCAAATTCTGAATTGAATATAAATGCAGCCTTGGTGAGAATGCACGAGCGACTTCATTTTCATTTTCAACATGGGCAAGAGCTTAGGAGGTATAAACATGTGGGTTAAGTTTTAGCCAACCTCGATCACCAAGTTGTTCTGAATCCTCTAAATGGTGTCGTAACGCATTGAGGTGTAAACTGAACAAGAGTAGCACTACACTCATGCATGTTCACCAACGCTGCATTTATTTCATCAAACATAGAGTAAAAAAAAATGTAATATTGTGAAGTATTAATGCATTTTAAATAGGGCTGTCAAACGATTAATTGCGATTAATCGCATCCAAAATAAAAGTTTGTGGGTGCACAGCGTATAATTATTTTATATATAAATACACACACATGCTTGTATATATTTAAGAAATATTTTCATGTATATACTGTATATAGATTTATATATAATTTATATTATATATAAATATCAATGTTTTATATAAATAATATTTTTTTCTTAAATATACTTGTATATATATATACACACACACATATATATATATATATATATATATATATATGTATACACACATGCATGTATATTTAAGAAAAAAATAATATTTATATATAAAATATACAGTATATACATGAAAATATTTTTTTAAATATATACAAGCATGTGTGTGTATTTATATATATATATAAATATATAAATAAATAAATATATATATATACACAAAATAATTATACACAGTGCACCCACATATATTATGTAAACACAAACTTATATTTTGGATGCGATTAATCACGATTAATCGTTTGACAACCCTAATTTTAAAAGAACTGTTTTCTCATGTCACATGATCCTTCAGAAATCATTCTAATATGCTGATTTGCTGTTTTAGAAACATTTCGTCATTATCGATGTTAAAAAAAGTTGTGCTGCTTTTTGTAGAAACTGTGATACTTTTTTTTAGGATTCTTAGATGAATAGAAAGATCAAAAGAGGAGTATTTCTTTGAACTACAAATCTTTTTCGGTCACTTTTGATCGATGTGACTTTAGATCTTTTATGCACATCCAAGTTCACAGACACACACACACCTAATATAAACACACGCCAAGCCCCAAAAGCGAGTGAAGGAACGGTGATGTTGGCAAGTATGTGAAACGGTGTTATCTACGGTCACATTTTTATGAATTCTAACAGCACAATGTCTTGAGAACATAGAACGTAAACAAATGTGAATATATATACACTCACCTAAAGGATGATTAGGAACACCTGTTCAATTTCTCATTAATGCAATTTTCTAATCAACCAATCACATGGCAGTTGCTTCAATGCATTTAGGGGTGTGGTCCTGGTCAAGACAATCTCCTGAACTCCAAACTGAATGTCAGAATGGGAAAGAAAGGTGATTTAAGCCATTTTGAGCGTGGCATGGTTGTTCGGTCTGAGTATTTCACAATCTGCTCAGTTACTGGGATTTTCACACACAACCATTTCTAGGGTTTACAAAGAATGCTGTGAAAAGGGGAAAACGTCCAGTATGCGGCAGTCCTGTGGGCGGAAATGCCTTGTTGATGCGAGAGGTCAGAGGAGAATGGGCCGACTGATTCAAGCTGATAGAAGAGCAACTTTGACTGAAATAACCACTCGTTACAACCGAGGTATGCAGCAAAGACACAACACACACAACCTTGAGGCGGATGGGCTACAACAGCAGAAGACCCCACCGGGTACCACTCATCTCCACTACAAATAGGAAAAAGAGGCGACAATTTGCAAGAGCTCACCAAAATTGGACAGTTGAAGACTGGATAAATGTAGCCTTGTCTGATGTGGATTGTTTCTGACCATGTCCATCCCTTTATGGCCACCATGTCCCCATCCTCTGATGGCTACTTCCAGCAGGATAATGCACCATGTCACAAAGCTCGAATCATTTCAAATTGGTTTCTTGAACATGACAATGAGTTGACTGTACTAAAATGGCCCCCACAGTCACCAGATCTCAACCCAATAGAGCATCTTTGGGATGTGGTGGAATGAATGGATGTGCATCCCACAAATCTCCATCAACTGCAAGATGTTATCCTATCAATATGGACCAACATTTCTAAAGAACGCTTTCAGCACCTTGTTGAATCAACACCACCTAGAATTAAGGCAGTTCTGAAGGTGAAAGGGGGTCAAACACAGTATTAGGATGGTGTTCCTAATAATCCTTTAGGTGAGTGAATATTCTGAAATGCAGTAAGCATGAAACTCTTGAGCCCTCAGAAGTGCCATAGGCATCTAGTATGGCTTAGTGTGAGTAATTATCTGCATCTCTCTGTAAGTTCTGGTGAGTAATGAGGAGCTCTGGGCTCTTGCTCTGTCTGTTTCACGCTTATTTCAGAAGTGTTGAATAATGAACACCAGGACAGATGAAGGTGAAATCAGAGCTGAGATGGTGTCACTATATTGTGCTGATTGCCTTTGAACACTGTAGCGTTATTCTCAGTGAAAATACAGTGCAGTTCTGATTGGCATGCTAAAAATGTTTTAGAGCACATGTAATCTGTAAATAGCATAGTATAATATGCTCGACTTTTTAAAAAATAAATGTTAAAACATAACCTCTTGCTCTATAATATATTAGTGTTATGTTTATATTAGCATGCTATTACATTTGAGTTGGATTAAAGGGTTAGTTCACCCAAAAATGAAAATTCTGTCAGTATTTACTCACCCTCATGTTGTTCCAAACTTCTTATGTGTTTATTTGTTCTGCTGAACACAAATGAAGATATTTGGAAGAATGTTTTAATCAAACAGATCTCAATCCCCATTGACTACCATAGTAGGAAAATATACATGAAAAAAATTTGCCGTTTTTTTAGTGGCAAACTAAAGACTAATGACAGACTGTTGATCTTAAAAAATAATGTTTGGCTCAGGTTTAAAATTCATTACTTTTTAGTATAGGTTATGTAGTCTAGTATCATAGTAGGCCCACCCCTAGATCTCTTACTTAAAGGCACACTATGTAAAATTTGTATCTTAATATACAACTTCAAAGGGGAATCAGGCCGTGAGTGCAGAGACGCTCTGCGTGAGTGGTATTTACGGCAGTAACATTAAACACAAGTACTCCAGAGCGACTCTAGGGGGCGCTGTTTGACAAAAACGGAATTTCTGCATAGTGTGCCTTTAACCAAAGTATCTAAAGACAAAACAGAGATTTAGCAATAATTGTCCCTAAAAAATAATTAAAACTCAAATGTTTTAAGCAGCACCTGGTCATGAGAACGAGTAAATATCCACACAGTTGTACTCTTAGGCCCTCTTTGCACCTGGTATTAAAGGATAATTCCGGTATTTAACACCTTGAGTCTATGTTGTAGTTTGTTTTGAATGAAATAGAGTGGTGGACTTTCGCGGTCCGGTCTCGACTTTTTGACTATTTTAGAATCGCCTGTGACAGCTTTAGACTGGGTGTCTATGGGCATGCACAAACATGTCCATAAAACAACCCTTAACGTTCATTTTCAAAACTGTGCAACTCACCGAGTGGTTGGTGGTGTTCGTTGATGTTCCGAAACTGTCTGTTCCGAAACCTTTCTGTCGTGTTTTATTTGTCAATTTTTAAAATCGCATTGATGTCTGCTGAAGGACTCAGTGCGCGTTGATATTACTGCGCTAGCTACCGGAAAAGGGGTCTGTTTACATTTGGTTGTAGTCTTTTCGCTCGGTTCTACGTCTTGCCATATTCGGTGCGCTAGACACCGTGTTCCGTACAGCGTCTTGGTTGTCGCTAGTGTTGTCACGGTACCAAAATTTCAGTATTCGGTACCAATACCAGTTAAAATTCACGGTTCTCGGTACCAATTTCGGTACCAAAGCTTAGTTTAAATTTACATATATTTAAGTGTTTATCACGGTTACAAGTATGGAAACTGTACATTTGTATTATAAACACTTTAGAAAAAGATTAGATAAAATGACCTAAAATAAACAATAGTATACACTAACACATTTTTAAAGTTGTTTGTAAAGTTTTAATCCATTATTTATTTAATGCACAATGAATTAACCGAACAAACATGAACAATCAGGTGTTTGTAATAAATAACATTTTCAAACATTAATTAATGTTGTAAAAATATATTTTTCACTCAATGTGTTGATAACTAAGTAATGTTGATGAATGGTATCTTTGTAGCATTACCATAAAACATGTTTTATTTGACTTGACTGTCCTTTTATTTAATCTAAAACTGCATTCATATTTAATTTTAAAAAGGCTTTTTAAAACCTGCTGACTGAGTTATAAAGGCAAGAATACGCCTAGAACTGGCACTGACATTAAATGACAATACTAATACCAGTAGCCTACTCTGGTGTCGGGTAGATACTACTGTGCTCATGTACTCGTAAAACTACCCCGAAAGCACTTTAGAGGCCGTTCACATGTCGCGCGTGTTTTTTAATTATATTTTTGCGCGTGCTTATTCTTTCCAAAGCGCTTGCTCTCACGCGGCGTCTGTCGTTGCTATGCAACGCCAACGAGTTTTTATTATGAGCGCGCTTGAATCACGCCTATATTTGAAATTGCGAATTTGCATGTAATCGGCCTCTTATGGCAACGTGACATTAGCCTAATCCAAAATATTTCCATATGTGGCTCTTTCCTCCTTTCGTTTCAACAAGTGGATTCAGAGAGAGAGAGCCATATCAGCGTTATGAAGAGGACGCAACTGTGCACGTTTCAGACATCGCGTCTAGAACAGAACTGGATTAACCTGGTACTCGGTACCTAGAAAAGCTGGTACCGTAACATTTTTTTTTTTTAGTACCGACTTGGTACCGAAGTACCGAGTTTTTTGACAACACTAGTTGTCGCCATCAAGTGGTCGGGAGTGTGCTAACGTTTATATGCGGTTGTGAGGTATCTGAATAAATAGTTCCACTATAGCAAACAACACGGATTGAAAGCACACATTGCGCCGATATTTTTTTTTTAATCATCAACGAACACCACCAACCACTCAGTGAGTTGCACAGTTTTGAAAATGAACGTTAAGGGTTGTTTTAAGGACATGTTTGTGCATGCCCATAGACAGCCAGTCTAAAGCGGTCACAGGCGATTCTAAAATAGTCAAAAAGTCGAGACGGGACCCATATCAAAATTTCTAACTCCACCACTCTATTTCATTCAAAACAAACTACAAAATAGACTCAAGGTGTTAAATACTGGAATTGTCCTTTAAGATGCGTTAAATGGACGACGCTAAATACAGGTGTAAACGGGGTCTGAAAGGTTTTGAGCTTGTCCACTTTCGACCACTTCCAGAGGCAGTTGAAAACCGTACTGACCCAATGCGTGAACATTATGGGAAGTGCACTAGCCAGACGCGATTTAAACTTTGTCAGGATTAAGAACCAAGTTTGGTTTGGAGACGTGAAAAACGTACCAAGCTCAATGTTCTCACACACTTACAGCGTTCGGCTGGTCTTGTGGCTGTCAGTGCAGAAACTAAAGCTGATTTGTGTTTTTCAGTCGTCTCCAGGCGTGTTCATATGTAAATTGTATGAGCTTATTTTGTCCATTAGATCACAAGATCTAAAAAAAAAACATACATTTACCCCCATAGTCCCTCCTCTCGAAGAAATCAGTACAGAAGAGGTTGAAAGTGGACAAAAGAGACGGATTAAACGGGAATGTGTCTCCCTAGTCCACTTGTGATCCGATCGACCAAAACACTTCTTAATTCCAGGAGTAAACAGAGCCTCGGTAGGAAAGATAGTTCCCTCGCACTGGAAACTATTACATCTAATCAGTCATCTGGATGCTCTTGAATGCCCAATACAATGCAGTTCTGTCATCAGATGTTAGGTTAGGTCATAGCAGATGTTAAAGAGATTCTTACATTTGTGATAAAAGCAAACGAGCTGCCTCTTGTGAATCTTTATCTGCTGGTGCCATTGTTGGACAGTGTTACTTTAGAAAATAATGTGGATTATATACTTTTTTGGTGATCTTTACCTCAGGAAAATGCTGCGTAATCCTCAAGTTTTTTGAATTTCAAATCAAGTAAAGCAGATAATTAAAATAATTACTGCTTTAATGGAACCAATTATAGGCACTTGTCTCAAAGATGGGCGTCCAGATAAAAGGCTCCAAATTGAGGGAGAAAAAGTTTGCAATTTAGCACTCGTTCCTCTCAGGGGCCAAATGAAGATGCACTACAGCAGCAGCATATTGTTTGAGTACTGTTGTTCCACATCATCATCTAAAACATTGATGTTATTATTAACATTTTTTAATTGTTTTGTAATTATAGGCCCCTCTCACCTGCTCTTGTCTTTGCTGCCCCCTGCAGGTGGTGGCGTATCACTACTGTCAGGCGGATAACGCGTACACCTGCCTGGTGCCAGAGTTTGTGCACAACGTGGCGGCACTGCTGTGTCGTTCGCCACAACTCGCCGCGTACAGAGAGCTGCTGTTGAAAGAGCCGCACATACAGAGCATGCTCAGTCTGCGCTCCTGCGTCCAGGACCCCCCCACTGCCTTCAGACGAGGGGTGCTCGAACCTCTGGAGGCGCTTTATAAAGGCATGTGCACGTTACATTCATGCAATTTGACAAGGCATAGTCATAACAGACACAATAGTCATTCAGATACTATTACAGGTTTTATAAAATATTGATTAAAATTTAAATTGAAAATTGATTAAAATATTGAAAAAAATTTATAAAATATTTTATGAAAAAATAAAAACAAATTCAAAACATAATGTTTTGAATTTGTTTTTTATTTTTGGATTTTAGTTTGAAAGTTTTAGTAATTTTGCTGCTTTTTGTCAGGTCTATATACACTGTAAAAATGAATATGCTTTATCTAATCAATAAAATTGTGGCAACAGATTACAAGCAATATTATTTATTAAATTGAACAAATTAGAATTGAGTAATAATTAATCAAATTAACATTCTAATTAATTCTAATTTGTACAATTTAATGAATAATATTGCTTGTAATATGTTGCCACAATTTTATTGATTAGATAAAGCATATTATTTTTTTCAGTGTACACTGTAAAAATATATGTTTTTTCTTTTGTCAAATCAACTTAAATAATTTATGTTGCTCAGATAACATAATATTTTGAGTTTCTGGTGATTAAATCAATCTCCTTCATTGTATTAACTCAATTTTTCAATTTCAATGAACTTAAAATTTTAAGGCAACCAGGTTACTTAATTTTACTTAAGTTACACCAACAATATTTGTTTTACAGTTCTTATTCATTTTTATTTAAATTTTAGTTTGTTGTTTTAGTACATCAAGTTAAACTGAATGAAAAATCATTGCATGAAAATGTAAAAGGATGCCTTGGCAAGTTTACATTTGTATTTTATTTTATTTCAGTTTACTTTTACTATATTTCAAGCAACAAACGTGCATTTAATTTTGGTTAGACTTTACAATAAGGTTTCATTAGTTTACATGAGTTAACTACATTCGTATAATAATGAACTGCACTTCTACAGCATTTATTCAACTTTGTTCATTTTAACATTTACTAATACGTTCATATAATCAAAAGTTGTATTTGTTAATATTAGTTATTGTACCCTAGTGTAAACAAAATATATTTGTTTTATGCTAAGCATACCACAAATACATTTACATATTTATGTACTTAATGTACTGTACATACCCTGCAATTGTACAACTAATTTACTAAATTACTACCTACATTGAAACTAATTTTGTACTTAATGTACTTTAGTTTTCCAGAAATATTGCTGAGGTCCAACTAAAGATATATAAGTATATTTGATTGTGCTAAAGTGAAACTATTGCAAGTATACTTGAAATATATTGCATTTAAAGACGGGTATTGTACAGAGATCTTACTATCCTTACTAATAGTGATATTAAAACACATTTTAGTCTTAATATCAATGTGCATTGTCCAATAAAGAACTACTCCAAATAAGTTTAATTGTAATATTTGCATCAGCTAGTCTCAAGCGATATGTCATTGAATATGTTAATGGTTTGTTGTATACTTAGTAATACATTTTCACAAGGGAACTATGGACAAACAATTAACAGCTGTAATTATATTAACTAAGTTAGCAAAGATTACCAAATTGAGTATCAAGTGTATTGCTAACTAATGAAACCTTATTGTAAAGTGTTACCGTATACCATATTTTTTTACTGTTTTAATTGTAGTTTTCAGTTAACTATAATAACCCTGACACAAACACATGACCAGATTCCACAAGAGTTTGTGTTGAATGTACAATGATGCAAAATGTGTGTAAAAGTTTGTATGTTGTTGTTTTTCTCAGAGAGGAAGATCACTCCAGATGAAGACCTCATCATTCTCATTGATGGTCTGAATGAGGCTGAGTTCCACAAACCAGACTATGGAGACACCATTGTGTCTTTCCTCTGTAAGACCATCAACAAGTTTCCAGTCTGGCTCAAACTGGTGGTGACTGTCAGGACCTCGTTGCAGGTAAACGGTGCATTTTTACAATATCTGCCCTCTGGAATTGATTCTCAACTTTATAGACCATTTCACAAGATGTATACAACACTGGTCCAGAAACACTTCCTGTTTCAGTTTGTAACTGTTTTCTTTATTTCACATGTAAAGAAAAAAATCTTAAAGATGTTTGTTTAACTTTTTGATTCAGTTTTATATGTTCTGTTGGTTGTATTTTGTCCCAGCTTTTATGTTGTGTTAAAAAAAACAGTTTTGTTTACATCTTGGAAAATGGTCTATTGGGGGCATATTTTTCTAATTGTGTAACACTATAGTGTAGGGATGTCCCAATCCGATCAAGTGATTGGAAATCGGACACAATCACATGGTTTCAGACTCGATCGGAATCGGATGTTACCTCCCGATCAGGACTCGGATATATATTCTTAGTATTTTTGAACACATCTATAGTTATGTGGTGACACACTGGCTGCGTGGCGTGTCCGTTTTTATTTCGGCTCCCATGTTAACAGGTTAGAGCTTGCACACTGCCTGAGTGACGCGCGTCTTGAAACGCGAAAACGCGTGCATGCTAGAAATAGAACCGACGCCTACTTTTCACGCGACACACAAGAGTGTTGGAAGCGTTTCCAGGTCAATAGAATAGGAAAAGAAAATTTTGTACACGAATACATTAATAAATTACATTTTAATGGTTGAAAGTCTAGGTTTTGACATACATTCAGATATAAATATAATTTAAAAATAAATACATAAATAATTATCAATTTTAAAATATTGCACCTGTCAATACAGAACGAAATATTCTGTGGTCTATTTTGCTGTCAATACTGCTGACTGTGTCTTTATCAGTATAATTATGCTTAACAATATAAAGTTGATGACAACATTGCCATAGCAAACTGTGAGAAATGTAAACTAAAAGAAAAAGGCTACATTTAACACAACAAACTTGACTTGTGAAATGTTAAAATAAGGCAAATTAAATAAAAAATAAGGACCATCCTGGAATCTGGATCTGTTTTTTCGCTCTTCTTTATTCTTTTTTTATTATGATAGAATTATCGCATCGGGACTCGGTATCGGTAGATACGCCAAATCAAATGACTCGGACTCAAGGACAAAAAAACCTGATCGGGACATCCCTAATCCCTAATTCCTAATATAATATAATTAAATCGGTCCCACTTTATATTAAGTACATTGAAAAATAAGTATAATGTACTTTTTGAAAGTTAGGGAAGGTGTGGTGGCATGGGTAGGTTTAAGGGTAGGTTAAAGTGTAAGGGATGGGTCAGCTGTGTAATTACAGATATAATTACATAAATTACTTACAGCTATAATTACATGCTGGTATTTAAATTTAAAATATAAGTACAATGTAAAAACATGTATGTACACAATAAGTCCATTGTATCAAATTATTCGTTTTAATGTAAGTACATAGTACTTAAAGCCACTTAATTTAAAGTGGGACCAAAAGTTTTAATGTTGTCATAATGTTTTTGAAATCAAAAATATAGTCGAACAGTAATATTGTATTGTAATATATTGTTAAATGTAGTGTATTCCTTTGATCAAAGCTGAATTTTCAGCATCCACTCTTTAGTGTCACATGATCCTTCAGAAATCGCTCTAAGATGATGATTTGATGCTCAAGAAACATTTATGAGTAAAGTAAAAAAAAAATATGAACATTTACTATTTCATTGTGTACTACAAAATCTAACACGAGCATGATTTTTGAAAGTTACCGAGCTCTCACCTCTTTTCTTCCAGGAAATCACCAAACCTCTCCCTTTCCACCAAATCTCTCTGGACGCCCTGGAGGAGAACGACGCCATCGACCACGATCTCCAGGGCTACATCCTCCACCGCATCCACAGCAGTGCAGAAATCCAGAACAACATCTCCCTCAACGGCAAGATGGACAACACCAGCTTCGGCAAGCTCAGTTCCCACCTCAAGGCCCTCAGCCAGGGCTCTCTTCTCTACCTGAAGCTCACTTTTGACCTGATCGAACGCGGCTACCTAGTGCTCAAAAGCTCCAACTACAAGGTGGTCCCGGTCAGTCTAGCCGAAGTGTACCTTCTGCAGTGTAACATGCGCTTCCCAACGCAGTCGTCCTTCGAAAGGGCCCTGCCGTTGCTCAACGTGACCCTGGCTTCCCTGCACCCGCTGACCGACGAGCAGATCTACCAGGCCATCAACGCCAGCTCCGTGAAGGGCACGCTGGACTGGGAAGACTTCCAGCAGAGGCTGGAGAACCTGTCGGTGTTCCTGGTGAAGAGGCGGGACGGGACGCGCATGTTTGTTCACCCTTCCTTTAGAGAATGGCTCATATGGCGAGAGGAGGGAGAGAAGACCAAGTTCCTCTGCGATCCCAGGTCTGACAAAAGTTACTTCAAATACCGATTCGAGAAAAAATGGCTTTGGGGAGTGAAAGAAAATAAATGCACAAACTTACCTAACGGGTTTGCTGGTTTTGAAGTGGTTCAAAAGCAATTTGTTACAGAGCCAGTAATATACACGTTCTACCATTTAAAGGAGTAGTTCACTTTTAAAAAAACTTTTGCTGATAATTTACTCTCCCCCATGTCATCCAAGATGTCCACGTCTTTCTTTTTTCAGTCGAAAAGAAATTAAGGTTTTTGATGAAAACATTCCAGGATTTTTCTCCATATAATGGACTTCAATGGGAACCAAACGGTTAAAGGTCCAAAAGACAATTTCAGTGCAAACTGCAAACTGTTCAAAGGGCTTTAAACGATTCCAGACGATGTCTTATCTAGCGAAATGATCGCTTATTTAAAAAAAAATAAAAATTAAAGTTTTATAAGCTCAAATGCTCGCCTTGCTCTGTTCTATGATGTGCTTACGTGACTCTCCTGTTTGAACTCGTTCGTCAAAATGAACAAATCTTTTCCTGAGTCAATTCGTTCAACCAAATGACTCGAAAAAAGATTTGTTCCTTTTTGATATTCATTGTCTGAAATCGTTTAAAGCCCTTTGAACAGTTTGCACTGAAACTGTCTTTTGGACCTTGAACCATTTGGACCCCATTGAAGTCCATTATATGGAGAAAAATCCTGCAATGTTTTCATCAAAACCTTAATTTCTTTTCGACTGAAGAAAGAAAGACATGGACATCTTGGAGGACATGGGGGTGAGTAAATTATCAGCAAAAGTTTTTTTTAAAGTGAACTACTCCTTTAAGACTTTCTGTGGCCTTAAATTCAATCAAACTCAGTTTAAGACATTTTACACTGCTTTTAGACAAGGCTCAAGCCTAGGCATAGAGTAAAATGCATTATCGAGCTGTTTTAACTGAAAGTAACTTGCACTGGCAGATCTTAAAATATGTCGGTGTCATTGTTTTGTCTCAATATGTCTTTTTAAAAGCTACTTAAGGCTTAATCTAAACCCTGTCTGTGGAACCGGGCCTTTAAGATGTTCACCTAAATCAAAGTGTGAGAATGATAATCTGACGCATTATCCAACTTTATATCAGTGGAAAAGTTTGATCTATGAGAATATTAGGATGTTTTCTGAGAACTGTATTTTTCTTTTGTATTTTTTGAAGGAATGGCCATACTCTTCTGGCTTTCTGGTTCTCCAGACAAGAAAACAAACTAAATAGACAGCAGACAATTGAACTGGGTCACCATATACTGAAAGCACACATATTCAAGGTAAGAGTGTTATGCAAGGATGTAATAATAGATCACTATATTGCTCATATTTTACAGCTAATGCTTTCATGCATTAAGGCTTTTTGTCCCGTTATTGTATCATACTTTAGGGCCTGAGTAAGAAGGTTGGGGTTTCGTCATCCATCTTGCAAGGACTGTGGGTGTCATACAGTACAGAGAGTTTATCTACAGCGCTTTCATCACTCAGAAACCTTTACACACCTAACATAAAGGTACTGCTCCACTTTACAGATTTTACATTTGTTTCATACTCTAAAGCCAACATTATGGACTTTCTGTTTGCAAAACCGGGAATATTCTCCACAACAGAGCCAATTGCATCCCATGTCTCCATATCCGCGGCCGTTTTTGATTTCCCTAACCTAAAATAATATGTTTTTGGTAACATTTTACAATAAGGTTTCATTAGTCAACATTAGTTAATGTAACATAAATGACCAACGAACAAAACATTTGTTACAGTGTTTATTAATCTTTGTTTATATTAGTTAATAAAAATACTGTCGTTCATTGTTTGTTCATATAGTTTACAGAATGTTAACCAACAAACGTTTGATTTTAATAATGTATTAGTAAATGTTGAGGTTAACATTAATTTAGATTAATAAGTTTTGTTTTCTAACTAAAGTAGTTAACTAATGAGACTTTATTGTAAAATGTTACCATTTTTGAAACTTATTTTAAATAAATTCTTGGAATTCACAAAACTAAGTATAACGTGGGCACTTGAATTTGTCTTTAGGTGTCGCGGCTGCTGATGTTGGGCGGCGCTAATGTGAACTATCGTACGGAGGTGTTGAACAACGCTCCGGTGCTGTGTGTGCACGCTCACCTGGGTTACGCTGACATGGTGAACCTGCTGCTGGAATATGGCGCCAGTGTGGACTCGGCCTCCGAGAGCGGCCTCACTCCTCTGGGATACGCGGCCGCCGCTGGACACCTGGGGATAGTTACCGCCCTCTGCAAGAGGAAAGCAAAGGTACAAAATTCTTACTTTTTTATGAAAATGTATACTTTGTGCACAATAAATGCTGTTGGGTTGAGTACTCAGTGTTGAAAAATTTAAAATGAGTAAAGTTTACACCCAAATATTTAACAAAAATATCTGAATAACAGAGATATATCCAACTGCAGACCCGCAGCACCACCAGTTTCAGAACCCCAGCGCCAGAACCGGAAGTGAGGGAGGGGCGGAATTATTATTATTATTGCATTATAGTTATTTTAGCAAGAATGGAAGGACAAAATGGGCCTGAGAGTGAGTTCCTCATTTGATACATTGTAAGTTAAATGTATACAAGATTGTTGTGATAAAACAGGCCTAGGGTTGAATTGGTCATTTTGTATATTTTTATTGTTTCGTTTAAAACAATGCCGAAATTTCTCTCTTTTAGATTTTGACATTATTATTTTACACGAAAAAAAATGCATGCTGCACATGTTCTTGTAGAATAAAGTATATTTTATAAAAAAATACCCATGCGTTTTTTAATTTATTTTTTTTATTAAACAATCAAAATCATCTTACAAATACATATCTTCAATTTCAAAACAATTAAAGATGTTTGTAAACACAATAAATAAATAAATAGAACATAAAATATCACAGAGGTCTAATGAGTTATCGAATTGTGTATAATTTTGAAAACCTCCAATGCTTGTCTTGTTTTTATATCTTTCAAAGCTTTATTATACAAAGTTAACTCCTTCATAAAAAAAAAAACAAAGGTCTTACCTTCGTAAATCTACACGTAGCCTTGTATAAACTGCTTAGCTAAAATTATTAAACTGTTATACATTAAAATGCTCATAAGTTTCAAGTATTATTTCTTCTTGATCAGGAAGTAACTCATAATACAATGAAACGGATAACTGAAACTATATACAATTATATTACACAAAATCAATGTTTTAAAATGCTTATTGTACTGTAATGTAGCATCATAACATATAATACGTATAGTTCCTGTTCAATAAAAGCTGTTTCATGTGTAAAATACCCTCCAAATTATTAGGTTATTAGGTTTCGAACCTAAGCTCCGCCCCTCACTTACAACCCTGGCGCTGGTGTTGGTTAGAACGTAACTCCGCCCCTTACTTCCGGTTCTGGCGTTGGGGTTCTGAAACTGGTGTACTGCGGGTCTGCAGCTGGATACTATAGGAATAACAGACAGGCGTCAAAGATTAATTAAAAACTATTTTTATTTTATATTGCCAACATTGAAGACACCTGATGTTAACAAGCAGAATTACTGAAGGAGAAAACCGTAATTTTAAAACAAACATCACCATAATGGTGACTTAAATGTAAGTTTATGTTTGTTGTTGTAAGTTTTACTCATTTTAAATTGTTAACTTTTAAGGAATTAATTTGATTAATTATTACTCAATTCTAATTTGTTAAATTTAATTAATAATATTGCTTGTAATCTGTTGCCACAATTTTTTGGATTAGATAATGCGTATTCGTTTTTACAGTGTAGGGGTGTAACGGTACACAGAAGTCACTGAAAAAGCAACAAATCCCCAATGCTAGGTTTCTTTTAATTTATTTTGAACTGACAGTTGTGAAAATTACAGTTTGTTCGAACTAGCGGCGTTTAGTCCCCTGAGGTTGTTGCTACAGAACAGCCTTTAGAGTGTTGAGCACTAAGTAGTAATGTTCAATAGGTCACAATAACAAATGATTTTGTCTCATTATAACAGCGGAAACAACTTAAAATACTCCATCAATTGTGGTCATACAGATAAGAGTAAGACATCTTTCGAAACTGTATTTTTATTTGTGAACACTCACAATAAAAACTAAATATTGTGCTAAAATAAAGAAAACAAACAGGATGCTGCTTTCTGCCGTCCCGGTTTCCTTTCCGTGACGTTTGTGGAGCGCGTCATAAAAATGAATAAAAACTAAGCATTTAGTCCATGCTTCTCTTTTGCACACTTCTAACTGAATATACTGTAGAGTTTTAAATGTGATATTATCAACAGAACATTTTTAGTTACACCAATATGATTAAAGGGATAGTTCACTTTGAAATTAACTTTTGGTATGTTTTATCTTACCTCAAGGGCATCCAAGATGTAGGTGTCTTTGTTTCTGCAGTATTTTCAATTTTGATATTTTTAGGTCAAACCGTTCTTGTCTGTCAGTCATATAATGAAGGTCTATGGTCACCACCTCAAAGAGCATGCACAGAGAAGTCCAAATTAAACATGATTTAATGACTCGTAAATGTAAGTACACATTGATGGCCTAAGACACGAAACGAGCGGTTTGTGTGAGAAAACGAACAGTATTTATATCGTTTTTACCTCTTGTAATCAATGTCACGTCCAAATGATCTGAGGGCGCGAGCGCTTCGGTCTGCGCAAACACCGGTAAGCGCCAGAAGTGATTTCTCGCGTGTGTACATCACTCATTGTTTACACAGAGATTTCTGAAGTGTTACCCTTCACTGTGAAGATCTAAACATATTTAGATATACGGGAAATCGCAATGGAAGACGATTTCGATATATCAACAGACAACATGGATTTTTTTTTTTTCCGCAACCATGCGAGAGATCACTTCCGGCGCTTACACAAACCAAAGTGCCCACGCCCTCAGATCATTTGGACGTGACATTGATTACAAGAGGTAAAAACAATATAAATACTGTTCGTTTTTGTCACACAAACCGCTCGTTTCGTGTCTTAGGCCATCAATGTGTACTTACATTTATGAGTCATTAAATCATGTTTAATTTGGACTTCTCTGTGCATGCTCTTTGAGGTGGTGACCATAGACCTTCATTATATGACTGACAGACAAGAACGGTTTGACCTAAAAATATCAAAATTGAAAATACTGCGGAAACAAAGACACCTACATCTTGGATGCCGTTGAGGGAAGCTAAAACATACCCAAAATTTATTTCAAAGTGAACTATCCCTTTAAGTAATAATAAGTATTATTATCAATGCCAAGTAACAGATTTGATTAGACTGGACGGTGAGAATATTATTCGTTTCCCATGTGAATATCAATTATATTTATAAGTGTTAAGCAAATGCAACAGAAAATTTGACAATTAAAAATGTGACATTCAAACTTTAATTAAGTAGCTTATCACAAACAGCAGCCAATAGGCAAACAAGACTCGTTCCCATTAATTATTCCAAAAACTGATGGATTTATCTTTAAAGTCTGGTTTGTTTTAATGTCGTGCCTGGATGCTAGACACAGTAAGTCGCTCTCACAGGACGTCTGACAGCTGCACAACAGAAAGCGGATGGAAACACTGAAGTAATGAGTCATCGCTATGGAAACGATACACCGTTTCAACTAATCGCTTTGTTGTAAACTAGAAGGATTTACAGCCTGTCAACACCAGACATGAGCGACACACAAGTAAACGGATGGCCTGTTCTGTTTCTGATTCACTCCTCGCACTTGTGCTACTTCTGAAAGAAAGACACTAGATTGGTAAAGACTAGATTGCATCTACCGGTACTCTATACACTGCATCTGAAATTGAATACTTCCCTACTATATTGTATGTGAGAAACAGTACGCCAACATACTGTCCAAATACATTGTATTCGGAGAAAAAAAAAGTACCTATTACTTAATTAAAGAGTAACTAAACACTAAATCAACTTTTTTTAGTTAATGATCTATAAGAATGGATCTTCATTAATACCAGTCATTGATTCGAGTGACTTTTTTGACATTTGTGTATAAAGTGTTTTATTTCTACAATATATGGTATAAAAACGTCTTAGTGCTGCCCTCTTCAGGTTGAACGGTGGCTACTGCAGTTGAATATTCCTATTGGATGTTCCGCACTTCGTGACGTACGCAGGTTTCGGCTGTATAAAAACCATCTTGTGTCGTCAAAACCACTTTAGCGAGTCAGGAGTTGGAATTGCGAGTATTGAAAACGATCAGGATAGAGTGTTTTAGCATCTATTTCGTCTCTATCTCCGCTGGGGTCTGCCTACTTTTTCAGCATTTTTCAAACATTGCCAGTGGGTGGAGTCAGGCTCTGACCAGGGGTCTAGTTACCCTTCAAATGGACACTAAACTATCCCATGAGGCCATGGGGGAGGATTTGTGAATGACAGTGAATCGATGCAACTGACGTTGGTAGGTCACGTGATAGTAACAACATGGCGGATGTAGTACATCCAGATAACATTCATACTACCCATATTGATTAGGGCTGTCAGTTAAACGCGCTAATAACAGCGTTAACGCAAACTCATTTCAGCGGCATCAATTTTTTTATCGCACGATTAACAGTATTTTTGGCCTAGCAAACTTTGTAGTTTTCTTTCACATGTTTTCGCATGCGCGGCGCTGCGCTCTGAAACCCATTCATTTCAAGGACGTTTTGTTGCTTCGCCGGCCAAAGCGCAAGCGGATCTAGCTAGACCGGAAACAAAACAACAGGCACGACGCCACACACACTTGTTTGGGCTTGCGAGCCGGCCAAATAGTTGGTTAACGTTACGTTTTGAGTGGATGACGAGCGCGAGACGCCAAAACGGATGCCAATAAGATTCTGAATGGAAAGTTTTACTTTTAAAAGTTGCCAAATTAATTTCATCGCCAAGACCAAAGTGATCTGTGTGTTTTGTCGTTGTGAACTGAGCTATCATCATCATCGCAGCACGTCCAGTCTGAATCACCACTTGATGATGGCCAAGCACACACACACACACACACACACACAGAGAGAGCTGATGCGAATTCTCCGCCCCCTCGTCAATATCAGGACCTCGTCAGTATTTCTTTCATCCTTTTATTGATGGCCAGTGTTACATTGAGAGATTATTTGCTCCAAGTGAGAATGTTAGTGTGAATTTGAACACTGTAGATGTATAGTAACGAAGTAGAACTACTTAAGTACTAAAATGCTGTATCTGTACTCTACTAGAGTATTGTTTTTTTCTCATACTTCTACTTTTACTTCAGTAGATATTTTCGATGAATTTAATACTTTTACTTCAATATTTTTTTAATGTTCTGCTAGTTACTCGTTACAATTATAAAAATGTTACGAATCATTCGTTGCAAGTTGGCTTTCATGCTGCCTAAATCACACGCCAGTTTTATAGGGTAATGGTATTGATTGACACACACATTGACAAGTAATGCAGGGGTTTTCCTGCAATGACATTTTTTTGGCGGCCGCCTAAGCAAATTTGTATCCCGCCAAAGCGCCTTATTTGATTGCTAGTTCAAACTTTTGACTGCTTTCTTTAATAATTACATGACACAATACTTGTACTTTTGGTACTTAATTAGTGAATTTTTAAATAAACTACTTGCAATATTTAAGTATAAAAAATGTTGAATACTTTAGTACTTCTACTTAAGTGTGGTGCTTAAAGAGCACTTCAACTTCTACTCAAGTCACTTTTTTGATCGAGCACATGTACTTTTACTCAAGTCCGGGTTTCTAGTACTTTATACATCTCTGGTTGTTTTTAATAAAAAACATTTGCACAAAGCAAGCCGATCCACTTTTCCATGTTGACAAAAGCATTAAAATGAGAAAAAATAATGGGACAAAAAGAAATCAAGAGACATACACTGTAAACATGAACCGTAAATTTTACGGTAAAAAAAAACGGTTGCCAAAACTTTACCGTTAAAAATACGGTAGGAACGTTAATGGTTTTACAGACTTAACTTAAAATTTACAGTAATAAACCGTAATTTATTTTCTGATAAAATGTGGATTTACCAACTTATTGATGTATTGATATCTGTTTTAGACCATTGTAATACACTGACTTCCAACAATCATCACAGCAGTGATGAGTTACCTGAGCAATCACAGCTCATCACAAGTGAATACTTCTATAAAGCAATACTTAATTAAAGAAGTAGTGATGGCCGGTTCGTGAACGAATCGTTCTTTTGAACCGGTTCTTTTTAGTGAACCGGTCGAACCAGTACACTAAATCGGACTGAATCGTCCGAAACAGTTCGCGTCTTGCGTCAGCGCTAAACCACAAGTTACTAAAGTTACTCACTTTCAGACATGCCTGACAGTCCCTCCGAATCGAAATAAACCAATATACAGAAGTATATTTTATTCAAGTAACTCAAAGTTCACTGAACGGAGACGTGTTGGTGCTGAGAGAAGTGATGAGCACGAGCAGCTGATACTGCGCATGCGTGTGCTACCGAACATACAGATAGAGCGGTCGGATAACCACCAGTACAGAACCGAGAACTGTTTCTTTCGGACACGTTCGACATACTGAGAACTGATGAGTTGATGAGCTGAGCATGCGTGCATTTTTTCTGAGGGACGAAATGTACGTTTCCATGTCTTTAGTTGAACATCAGTAAGTGTAACAAAATAAAACATTTTGGAAACATGTTTATCACATAATTACTGTATTATCACTGTATTATTTTAACGATTGGAAACAATGATTGGATTCTAAAACTGTCAAACTACTAAACATTTATTATTATACTAATATAATATTTTCAGGAACAGCTCATTTAATTTCTAGTAACAATATAAATCTTTGATGTAAACTCTTGCCAAGGTTTTAATGGTGCACTGCTTAGAAAATGTTTATAATGTGTTAACATAACGAATTAAACATGTTTAATTCGTTATGTTAACACATTATAAACATGATGTATATGCTACAGAAGGCTATTGGAGACAGACATGCATCGATTTTTTAGTTTTGACTGTATATTCAGGTTCCAGCTCAGCACACAGGCCTATATGCTATGGCTCGAGTCGAGAACTGGTTGTTGCAGTTCTTGAATCACTAGTACAGAACTGAGAACTGTTTCTTTCGGACACGTTCGATACGGAGAACCGATGAGGTGGAGATACTGCGCATGCGTGATAGCACCGTCTCTGAACAGAACTTTCTTTCGGCTGATCCTGTGCTGATATACGAGCACGCAGTAGTACGTGTGAACCCAGGACTTAAACGAGAGGGTGAATCGGCGAAATGTAAGTTTATTTAATAACAAATAAAATGATGAAGACCATTTATGCATTTTATATATTTAAAACATGTAAAACATCCGCGTTAGCACATCGCCTAGGCTGCAGCAGGGTTCGTTTTCAAAATGTAAATGTAAGAAACTTATCCAAGATGATTATGACGATGTGTACTATTATTTAACTGAAGTTATGATTAAAAATGCCTGTAATTTGAAGTAGTTTTATCCGCCAGGATGATAGAATTGACGTCATTACGTGATGACGTAAAAGAACTGGTGAACCGGTTTTTTGAACCGGTTCATTAAAACGAACTGTCCGAAAGAACCGGTTCGCGGAAAAGAACCGGACTTCCCATCACTATAAAGAAGCTGCACAATGTCATTCACACAAACATTAAGCACCATCATGGTAGCACACATGAAATTAAAAAAATGCAATAAACATTAATTTAACAACATTAAATGTAACATATAACCCTAATGTACATAACTGATTAGAAAAAAAAACAATAAAACTATGAGGAACCATAGTTATTTCAACAAAAATACATAAAATGTGACACACAGGGAATTGTGGGAATGTCAATTTAAGGTTTTTCACTGTAAATTATACAATGATTTGTTCTTTTTCACTTTCAAAAACTGTAAATTTAACGGTATTTTACTGTAAAATTATATCACAGTTATTTACAGTGTATAGTACGGAAACTTTCTGTTTACCAATTAACAGTTTTGCACTGTAGCATTTTTACAGTATTTTACCGTTAAAATCACGGTTATTTTTTACAGTGTAGAATAGATAAAAATGTGCGATTAATCGCGATTACATATTTTAATCGTTTGACAGCGCTAATATTCATACTGTATAGACGGTGTTAGAATGTTGCAAACCAAATTATTTTTCAAGTAAGCTACAAGTTTTAGCTCATCTTGTTGTGAATCTTTGGTGTAAACTCACCTTAAACAAAAGCACAATGCCCTCACTGAGAGCGGACTAGATGTTCCTCTCCATTTTAGTGCCGACTGAAGGACTAATAAAAAATCCATCTATGATTCATGGGAAATTTCATTAAGTCAGTCAATCAGATATGAGCTTATGATTTTAGCTTTTGTGTCGCATCACACCTCGCTGAGTAATATTTGCGTGTGTGTTTGTCCTCTCCATAGCTCGACCACTCGGACAAGCACGGTCAGTGTGCTCTAGTGCACGCCGCTCTTAGGGGGCACCTGGAGGTGGTGAAGTTCCTCATTCAGAGCGACTGGGGCCATACACAACTCCAGACCCCGTCCCCTACGCAGTCACAGGACACGCCCTCCCCAACACAGGCCACGCCCTCCCCCACACCACCAGAAGCCACGCCCTCTCCTACTCAGGCCACGCCTCTGGAGTCACAGCCACCCAGCCCTGAGCAGCAGGAGGATTCGGTGCAGACGCCGCAGGAGTCCGAGCAGAAGGTGGAGGAGCAGGACGAGACTCCGGAAGAGTCGGGACAACAGACACAAGCAGACGCTCAGACGGAGCAACAGACATCGCCACAGCCTGCGTCCTTCAACAAGAGCCTCGCAGTACAGCAGGCCCTTATAGCAGCAGCGAGCATGGGTTACACTGAGGTAAGGCCCTGCTGGCGTCTCACTATTCCCAGCATGCTTCTTGCTCACTACTAATTGTGTCTTTGTCTTTAAGATTGTATCTTATCTCTTGGACTTGCCCGAGAGGGATGAAGAGGACACTCAACGTGCGCAGATTAACAGCTTTGATACCCTGTGGGGTGAGACAGGTAAAGCTTCACTCTTACACTATATGTGACCTGATCCAGCAAAATGAGTCACAGTGACCCAAATCTAAAAATTGAGATTTTGATATTAATGGAAAGAGGACAACTGTAAGCTTTCAAATGATACCTTGGTCAAAGTCATACCTTGAATGGTTGTAAAGATATACACATTTGAATTCTGGTCGTCTGCCCTTTTTTTCCAACTGAAAACCTGAGAAAATCGCTTTTAAAGTTTTTTTGCCCTTTTTTTGATAGCTTTCAAAATCCATAGAATTTTAAGGGATAAACTATTTATTTTATATAGCTTAATTTGACCAAATAGATTAACATATATATAAATGCAATTTAACAAGGCTGAAGCTCAACTTATTTTTAAGTTTTTTTGGAATAAATAATTAAAAAGTCACTTTTACAAAAATGTTCTAAAATCAGAAAGATTAAGAGGCGTCAAAGAGAAATTCAGTTTTCATACGGATCAGCCCAAATAAGCAGAGAGCAGTCTGTTTTCTTTCGTTTTGAATGGTTGTGTTTAAAAGTAGACGGGTCTGTGAGGCTAGGATAGCTTACTTTCGGTTCATGAGACTTCGGTTCAAGCTTCAGTTCACGCGTCTCCGCGTCGTGATTAGGCCTAGCCTATCCATTGTCTGCAATTTATTTCTTATTATTAAATCCTAGTAATTGGGTGATGAAACATTGATTTAAATTAAGATAATTATTTTAAAAACGAAATTCACTTTAAAGAAAGACTTTGCGTGCTTGCTTTCTGTTTCTGTGAAAGTTTTAGTGCTGCTTCCAGAGAACGGTCACGTTCGGATTGTTTTTTTCCTCATAAATGCGAACACGGAAAATAAAATAAAGATTTTATGTTCTGGGGAGAGTCAACCCTTCTTCATCCGGTGAGTATTACTTTTGGTTTGTGCAGTGTGGTTCACATAGGCCAATTGATTAAAAGATTTAATTATCTGGGAATTATGGATCTCCTCCTTAACGCTGAAATTGCCCAATTTTAAACAATTATTTAGTAATAATTTAACTAGTTTTGTGGTGTAAGTCTACGTATTTTATAATGTTAACTTAAAATAATACTAATAGTAATTTAAAGATGTGGTCTGGACGTGAAGGATAACTTGAAGGGACGTGTCGGTGTCGTGATTCTGTCTTCTCACACCGCGACACAGGTTCGTGGATCTGAGTGTCGCGATCGTTACAGCCTTACATATATTCTTCTTGCAGATAAATACTCACACAGCTTAGGTTAGAAGCCTCCAGTGAGTTCAACGTTTCAGGGGATAGCCGGGAAATGCTCAGAGGTGACGAGGGGAGTTGAGAAGAGCAATGTTTATTTCAGCGAATTTAAAGCTTTGACAGCTTTAATCGTTATTTAAATACCTTTACTCAATTATCTGGACTACGAAACTTTGGGAGATTATTTTGAATGTCTGTTTTTTGAAATTAGCACAAAAAAATTTCAAATTTTCAAAAAAATTTTTTTTTTTTGTTATTTCATTGTTTTTTCACATAATCGGCCCATATCTTAAAATGGAACGTTGCGACTTCCGACTCATTTCGCCAGATCGGGTCACATATACTAAAATATAGTGAGCTGCCTACTATCCATATTGACATGAGATTCCAGTAGCTGATTTAGAGCACTTTTCACTGTTAGATCAATCACCTTTTTTTTCAGCTTTGGTTCGGGAAGTATTTTTCCTTTTCATTTTTGCCATAGAGAGTTTTAAAAAGTCTGAACAAAACAATGAACATTTGGTCTAATAAAACATCGGTACCTAGTCAATCATTCTCTGGGATTTGTTTTCATGATAATCGAATGTAAAGAGTTTTATCTCTAAAAACTGTTTAGCGTATAATGCTAGCAATGGGGGCATTGACTAAGTAAAAAGAAATGGCTAGTTTATACCACTAACAAGGCTCAAAATAGCCTCACGCTAACACAGTAACATAATGAGGCTCCATACGTGCAAAACGAAGCATTGAGAAATTTGTAAGTGTACAGACCGTTTAATAAGGAGATACTTTATGAAGACGGTTCACTTCGCGTATACAGACAGGAGCCATCTTAGGAAATAGTCTCGATAAGTCGATCCCCGAACGCCAGAAGTTCGCTGAACTTCATACAGTTCAGCTCACTCAGCACGGCGTTCGGGGATCGACTTATCGAGACTATTTCCTAAGATGGCTCCTGTCTGAACCACAAGTGACATGAAAATAATATTGTATGAAACCTCCTTCCCTTTCTTTGCACTGCAATACTTGTGAGGCATGTTAAATGAATCATGTTTAACATTCCTCGTTGCCATTTGGCTTTGAAGATTGCCTATAATGTGCTCTGTTTGAGCTATACAATGCTGTCTGACTTTTGTCTGAGCTGAGCTGGACCATGACATTTTTTTTGCAGAACTGCTTTAAAGATGAAATTGAACAAATTTATTAATTGATGGAGCCGAATCAACACTGAACAGCCGAAATGCACCATTTTCCTAGTATCAGTGTAAAGCTGCTTTGAAACACTCTGTATTGTATAAAGCGCTATAAATAAAGGTGACTTGCCTGTCTAGACAGGTAGCGGATGATTGACAGCTCTGTCCTGCTCTTCTCCTCAGCACTGTCAGCAGCGGCGGGGCGAGGAAAGCTGGATGTCTGTCGGCTGCTGTTGGAGCAGGGCTCTGCTGTGGCTCAGCCCAATCGGAGAGGGGTGGTGCCGCTCTTCAGCTCTGTGCGTCAAGGGCACTGGCAGGTAATTGATATGATTTTCCCTGGCCACAGTCTGCAGTGTGAGTGTGCACTACTCCCAATGTGTCCACTGCATTATTTAACCCATCCCAGTATGTTACCATACTTGTCATTTTCACTTATAAAGACTCTTTATCCGGTTTGTCTTTCAGATTGTGGATCTGTTGGTGTTGCATGGAGCAGACGTAAACCTGGCTGATAAACAAGGCCGTACTCCGCTCATGATGGCCGCCTCAGAAGGGCACCTGGACACCGTGGAGTTCCTCCTGGCTCAGGGTACGTGAATGATATACACCTTGGGCGGTTTTATGAAACTTGCATCAAATATACTGTACCTCATGTGTTTTGTGTATTTGTAGGTGCGTCTATGGATCTTATGGATAAGGAGGGTCTCACTGCGCTCAGCTGGGCATGTTTGAAAGGACATCTGTCTGTGGTTCATTGCTTGGTGGAAAGGGGTGCCGCGACGGACCATGCTGATAAAAACGGACGGACGCCTCTCGATCTGGCCGCCTTTTATGGAGACTCAGATGTGGTGAGTGATATCTCAGTTGGCTTGACAAATTTGGGTTTTTCAAAATACTTAATCTGAGACCAAAATTTCCTCCTAGTTGTTTCAAACTCTTGACTCTGGTTACCAAATCTCATAACTAATTGGATTTGGACCCTTATTGAATAATTAAAAATTCCCAAAACGTAAAAGTAATTCCACCCAAAGCATTCAAAGAAGATCCTCCAACCTGGCATCACCCTTGTTTTGACCTATTATGGTACGGTGTTTCCTGTAGATGAGTCTTTTTTTTTCGTGCTCTTTTTTTTTTTTTTTTGTCTCAGGTGCAGTTCCTGGTGGATCATGGGGCTTTGATAGAGCATGTGGATTACAGTGGAATGCGTCCTCTGGACAGGGCAGTCGGCTGCAGAAACACGTCGGTGGTGGTCGCCCTGCTGAAAAAAGGAGCCAAAATCGGTACGACAATAACTACATTTGCACGCAACCAAATAATCTGTTAATTGTGGGATTGATGGTTCAAGCAGATTGAAAAATCGATCCAGTTGAGCTTAACTAAATTACATTTTGGACGGATTGGAAGGAGTATTGTAGACCTGATCAATCGGAAAAAAAGTAAGCATGTAAACGCTTGAATCTGAACATTTTCTCACTTGGATTTAAAGGAGTAGTTCACTTTAAAAATAACTTTTGCTGATAATTTACTCACCCTCATGCCATCCAAGATGTCCATGTCTTTCTTTCTTCAGTCGAAAAGAAATTAAGGTTTTTGATGAAAACATTCCAGGATTTTTCTCCATATAATATACTTCAATGGGAACCAAACTGTTCATAAGGCTTTAAACGATTCCAGACGATGAATAAGGGTCTTATCAAGCGAAACGATCACTCATTAAAAAAAAATAACAAAGTTTAAGTTTTATAAGCACAAATGGTCGTTTTGCTCTGTTCTGTGATGCGTGTTCGTGACTCTCCTGTTCATCGAGTCAATTCGTTCATTTCGTTCGTTGAATGAACCAAATGACACGAAAAAAGATTTGTTCATTTTGATAAACGAGTTCGAACAGTAGAGTCATGAACGCGCATAACAGAACAGAGCAAGCCAAGCATTTGAGCTTAAAACTTAAACTCTTTTTTTTTTGTTTATATGGGCGATCGTTTCACTTGATAAGACCCTTATTCATCGTCTGGAATCATTTAAAGCCCTTTGAACAGTTTGCAGTTTGCACTGAAACTGTCTTTTGGACCTTGAACCGTTTGGTTCCCAGTAAAGTCCATTATATGGAGAAAAATGCTGGAATGTTTTCATCAAAAACCTTAATTTCTTTTCGACTGAAGAAAGAAAGACGTGGACATCTTGGATGACATGGGGGTGAGTAAATTATCAGCAAAAGTTTTTTTAAAAAGTGAACTACTCCTTTAAAAGTTATTTGCACACATGAGCAGTGCCGTGATGCGTATTTTTACATGCATCTTACAAACCGGTCATTGAAGGCTCCAAATGCACCGTAAATGAATATGTGAAGGCTTCGTATGAACAGAACCTTCAGAATCTGAAAAATGGATTGGATTCATTCGAATTGATAAAAATATGTGCATGTAAGCGAACCAAGTGTATGCGGCTCAGGCTTTGCCAACATTGAGGAAATCAAATATCCCCACAAGCATAGTAAAACCAGAAATCCCAGACCCTCAAATGGTCCCCTAAACGAAAGGAAAGCGGCTTATCACTAGAGTCCGGACCATGATACTAAAAAACCAACATGTATTTGTATGTTTTTTCCTTTTAGCTCAGCTTGTGCTTGCCAGCTTTAGCTGCTCTGTGCTTTACTTCACTTACTGCTCTTGATTAACGCATCTCTCTCTGGAACCGTGACCCTGTTTGTGTGTGTGGTGTTTGCATTTTGTTTTCACTCTCTACCTGTTTCTCTTGCTGAGAAAATCTTTCTCTGTTTGTCAACTCAATGGTTGGTGAGAGATAGTTTAACGTTGTTGGTGCCGTTAACTTTTAATTTTCTATTCTTTAGCTGAAGCTCTTATTCCCCACCACTCACGGCTGCTTTTTTGTGTTCCCCCTCACTTTTCTTCCACAACCACCGCCATCTTTCTTCACTCGTCCTTTCTCCCACTCTCACATTCACTCACCTACACACACGCCACTCTCATCATAACCACCTCTGGTTGTGCTGCTCGCCTCACCTCATCTCATCTCACTCCCCCCACAACCCCTGACCTCCGGCCACAGGATGTCAGACACTGCCGAGTCGCCGCAAAGGAGGTAATGCTTGTGCTCAGGCTCCCTGCATCTTGCTTCCCTTTAGGCATCCTGGCAGCTCTCTTCTCTGTTCTGTGTCCAGTGGTGTGGTGTCTGTCCATCTATTGTCTGTCTCTCTGTATATTTCTTTATATACCTACCTCACCTGGGTTTCCCAAACTATGAAAATGTAATCTTATGATAATGTGGTGAAATGTATGTAAGCTTTAATGTAAAGATTAACATTTCATGGGGCATTTCTTTAGATCATTTAAAAAAGTAGGGTACAATGTGTTGGTCCCCATTTACTTGCATTTTATTGGCAACAATTTGAAGCATGACAGAGTTTGGGAAATCCTCTATTAAACAATAGCATCATTGCTAATGGTTAAAGATGAAAGGATACAGGGAATGAGAAGTTGAGTTCACCCTGAAGGCATCCTCATCCTGTTGTCCATGCCTTCATCTGTTCGTTACGATTCCTGAGTGTTCTGCACACCTCGTCTCTCTCCATGTTTTCCCCTCAAACCTTTGATTGTCCATTTTGACCCATCAAACATCCTGTTACCCCATAGGTCCTGCTACCTGGGCAATGGCGACGTCTAAACCTGACATCATGATTATCCTACTGAGTAAACTTTTGGAGGAAGGAGATGGCTTCTACAAGGTCGGATATACTCATCATTTACCTCTAATGTTTGCACAGATTTATCTAGAACCTTGGCTCTATGTATTTACACAGTCAATCATCTTTTCTCTTGCAGAAGGGTAAAGTGAAGGAGGCAGCTCAGCGCTACCAGTGTGCCCTGAAGAAATTTCCCCGTGAAGGATTAAGTGAGGACCTGAAGACCTTTAAAGAGCTCAAAGTGTCTTTGTTCCTGAACTTGTCTCGCTGTCGGAGGAAAATGAATGTGAGAACGGCATGAACGTTACTAAAAATACTCTTTCCAAAGTCTCATTATGATTATTAGTGCACACAGTAAGGTTCTGGATATATGGTTTGTGATGCTGCAATATTGTTACTGCAAGAACCTCGGTGATGTACCTCTAGGACAACTGTGCAAAATAATGAAATATCAACCCCCTGAATACAAAAATAAAAATATATTTCACTGAACACACTTTCTTGGTCGCAGGACTTTGGTATGGCGGAAGAGTTTGCTACCAAGGCTCTGGAACTGAAACCTAAGTCTTACGAGGCATACTATGCTAGAGCCCGTGCCAAGCGTAGCAGCAGGTAGGGGTCATTACTTTCTTTCCTTGCACATCAAATTACTTATAGATGACTTAAAGGGATACTCCACTTTTTTGGGAAATAGGCTCATTTTACAACTCCCTCAGGGTTAAACGTTTGAGTTTTACCGTTTTCTAATCCATTCAGCCGGTTTTCTGATATTTAGAAGAATAAATATCAATGAAAGGTTCTGGTTTCATTGACTTCCATAGTAGGAAATACTAAATACTATGGAAGTCAATGAGACCTGGTTACTGATATTCTTTTAAATATGAGAAAATCAGCTGAATGGATTCGAAAACGGTCAAACTCAACTGTTTAACTCTGGGGGAGATGTAAAATGAGCCTATTTCCAAAAAAAGTGGAGTATCCCTTTAATATTTCCATTGCCACTCCATAGGCAATTCGCTGAAGCGCTAGAAGACCTAAGGGAAGCCATAAAGTTGTGTCCCAACAATCGTGAAATCCAGCGCCTCCTTCAGCGCGTGGACGAAGAGTACAGGCAAGTGACCCAATCAGAGGAGCCCGAGCTTGAGCCTCCTCCATCTCCACCACCATCTCCCTTACCAGTGGAGGAAGACGAGGAGCCCCCTCATCACACCCCTCCTCCTGAGCCAAGACTGGATGACATGGAACCTGTTCAAGACTTGTTTGAGGATGACGACTTCCTTGAACAAGAGCTGGAAGCGGTGTCAATCGGTCTTGCCTCTGATATTCACTCGAACGCTTCAAGCCTTGCCATTATACGTAGTCCACCCCTTTCTCCGACCCATCATGACACCGGCTACCTATCCGGAGGGCAGGCCTTTGAGTTTCACCCGAGCTCCTCCTCCATGTCGTCTCCTACCCATCACAGTTACCAGTCCACCTCCCCGTGTATCTCCCCAACACATCAGAACTCTCACTACCGCCAGAGTCCACCCCATACCTCGCCCGCACATCAGTCCTCCTACCGGTTCAGCCCTCCACCCATGGGCGGTGGAGGGAACCAGGGCATGGAGTACCAGAGTCCTCCACCATCTCCTCTTCGGCGTGGGGGTCCATTCAGAGCAAGCCCTCCGGTCGAGAGCGTGTGTCTGTATCGTTCCCAGTCTGGCTCTCCAGTCCGCTACCAGCAGGAGCCTTTACCTAGCCGGCCTAAATCGCCACTGTTGAAGATGAGCAGCCAGCGATCCTTCCAGCTCCAGTCGCAGCCTTCCCAGAGCTCTCAGAGCAGCCAGCACCACCAGATCCAAGGTCTTCGCCTGCAGCCCTCGATGGCACAGATCGTCCGCACCAACCAGCCCAGTAACAGTGTGTACAGCCAGTTGGCGCATCCACTCAGCAGCAGGTATCAGGGATGTTCCATGGATGTGGAACGGGAGAGAGACCGGGAGCCAAGACTTGTGTACCAGCCCTCGTTGGATGGCCGGTCAATGTCTCAAGTGCAATCCAGCCTTAGTGTGGGAGCTCTCTGTCAGCACGGGAGCCGAGGTGGGCCTCCCGGGGTCCTGGAGTCAAACCTGGGGAAAGAAGATCTCCCCCAACGTCCTGCTTCAGCCTACCGCTCGACAACAGGGGGACCTGGAGGCATGCGTTTCAGCCAAACCCCCCAGATCAGCCGCAGTCAGTCAGCGGCATACTACCCTGTCTCCAAGCACGAACTCGAGAGAGCGGTGGCCGCCTCTGCTCTGTCGCCTTGCCAACTGGGCTCTCCGGAGATCCCGCACCTAGTGCGCAGACCCATCAGTGCCAATACAAGTGACCTAAAGCAGCACGTACCGACCCCCAGACCACTGATCCACTCCCAGAGCGTAAATCTTCGCTTCTCCCCGTCCAGCAGTAACATCTCCTCAGGCTCCAGCTGCAATCTAGCCCCTGGCTTCAGGCCTTCCTCCTCCATGGCCCAAATGGAAATCCCGTTGCAGACCACGTATGAGCGAAGCTTCGACGAACCATCTGCCCTCTCACCCTCTCAGAGCGGACTCTACTCGGGTGAACCCGCCCGATCCCGGGCCACTCCGTTCATGGGCGTCATCGACAAGACTGCAAGGACTCAGCAGCAGTACCTTCTCCAGCCTTCCCGGGCCTGGCCCGTTTCATCCCTGGAATCGGTCATCACTAGCCCCACGTCGCCTGGCAACTTGATCCACCAAGCCTCCACCGCCTCTTCCTACAGCCCACCTACATCTCTAGGCAATATTGCCTACTACAATAAGACCAATAATGCCCAGAATGGACACTTGCTAGAGGAGGAGTACTACGTCCAGCCGCAGCCCTCCTCCCTAGGCAAGCTCGCTAACGGAGGGGCCCGTGATCGAGACCTCCTAGAGCGGGTGAGCCAGGCGCCAACTTACCAGGATGTTAAAGTGGCTCGGACAATGCCTGTGGCACAGGCGTACCAGGAGAACATGTACCGCCAGCTTTCCCGTGATGCCAGACAAGGTCCCACCTCGCCCATCAAACCAAAGAGACCCTATGTGGAGTCAAACGTTTAATAGGTGGGCACAAAGGTATGTGTGACAGTGAATGTTTGTGTCAGGTTGTACGTATGGGACTGTGTAGGTGCAGGATATTAAAAGCAGTATTTCAATTAAAGAGAAACTGAATATTAGACATACTTTTAATAAATTAAAACAAAAAAACAGTGTTACAAAGGTGTGTACAAATACCTGTGCCTACTTCTGTTGGAAAAAAAAACTAACTTTGTGGTGAACAGGCTCCAAATATCCTGACAGCACCCTTTTGGAGTATTAAATTACAGTATGTTAAGGTAAAATATGTACTATAAAGCTCTGCACATTATAAGAAAGCACATTTAATGACGTTCCACAACAGAGGCCTACACGCAGAGAAATAGTGTCTTGCCATCTAAAGCGGATATAAAACTGGGAATCTGTTTTGAACTCATTCTCTCTCTCTCTTCCCAATGAAACTAAACAAATTTGCTAGGCATTCTGGACATCATATTGTTGGATTGTTCAATACTGTAAAAAGGAAAAAAGAAAAACTAAGATGTAGTTACAGAAGGAAAAGAGGACTATTTATTATTAAGTTATATGATGTATAGAAATATTAAAGCCGTTTTTGTGTCAAGTTTATTTTTTCATTTTTGTTTGGGTTTTATGTCTTTCATTTTGTAACTATTGATTTGATCTTTTGGAAATGGTATCAGATATTTTTAAAATAATGATTCAGAGTTTATGACCGGAGGTACGGTTATTACCTTAAAATTCTGGTTCCCAAGCAGAAATGTTGTTTATCAAAATTCACAGTTGTACTGTGGCAATAATATTAGTTTAATCAATTTCTTGGGAATAAGCTTAATACGATTTTCAAGTAACCCTCATTTAGATTTTGTCTATTTAAATTAAATGATTTCAGTAAATTACCATGTACTGGAGTGGCCGTATTTCAAGTAGAAGAATGTATCGCACCATATGAACTCTACAGTATGTATACTACGTTTCAGGGGCGTTTGCAAGGTAGTGCTACAATTTCTTTTCAATTTCTTTATTGTTCTAAGAAATGAAATATTGCATTGTCACAGAGAAGCATCAGTATATCAAATGAAGTATGTTTGTTTTAACTTTTATTCGTAACTTTGGTCTGCACTGACTGTCTGGACATTTTGAAGAAAGAGAGCACTTTATTCATTCGTAAGGATTGTTTGGAATGGGAATATTGGGGGGATAAAGATTTTTTTTGTTTGTTTCTTTGTTTGTTTGATCTGGGATAGGACATCCTTACTAACGAACGTTCAGTGAACACTGGAAAATAACCTGTGATTAGTTGTACTACTAGAAAACAAACAAATAGAAGTCATTGTCCTTGGTGCAATTCTAATTTTTCAAGCAAATGAATGAACAATAATATAAAAGAGCAAAATTATGTTTTTAAAAAGATATAAAATGTGTATATAACAGCCTTTATAGAGCGCAGTGTACTTGCTGTATATAGTGGCCAAATGTGTTCATGCATACAAAATCCTGCTCTCCTCCGCCAAATGCAGCGCGAGAAGGTCTTGATGAGCCTCACGTGTCAAACACAGTTCAGTGGCATCACACACTACCGAAATGCAAACCAGCCGTTTTGAAATAGTGTATTCGTCGTGTATAAAAAATATATAAAAAAAAACAATATTCAGCTAGTTCCTTCAGAATGCAATATTATCAACATGCAGAGCTTAAATGTGGCTTTGGTCTTCTCAAAAACACAGTATATGAACAGATATCTAGACAGCTTGTCTTAAAGGCAACCATATTCACCTTTCTATTGCTGTCGGTGTAAACCTGCTTGAATCGAGAGATGCCTCATGGTCAACTTTGGGGGAAAGTGAAATAAATACTGCGGGCTCATCAAGGGCCTCTTTAGAGTGTTGTGGTTTTTCAGTGCAAGTTTTTTTTTTTTTTGCTGTACATAACCTGACGCATGATTTATCCACCATTCCCCTCCGAAATCGACATACACAGACATTCGAGAATCTGCCGTGTGTCTCCAATAGTGGAACTAAATAGAAATAATGATCACAACACTCATCGTTTACCTCTAAAGGTTTTGGCCATTCTTTTTATCTTTCAGTTGGATTTGAGTTGATTTTAATGTATTTGCTTGCTAAGCAGAGTTTCTCGTCTGTAAATGTGAGCTTTCAGAGCGCTGTGACAACGTTTAATGACTTCAATAAACCAGAATGTGTTTTTATCATGTCAGTGGTCATTTGTATCAAAAAGAAATGTCTAAAACTGGTCGAGCTTAAAAGACGATTCCTTTTATTGTGGTTTCTTTTATGCTGTTTGTCCTTTCAGACTATTATTGCTCATACTTGCCACATATTAATTAAACTGACGCATATGATGGCTCAAATCATGCAGCTTGTTGAGGATGGAAAGTTACATTTCTGAGTGAGCAGACTTTAGATTAAAGGGTTAGTTCACCCAAAAATGAAAATTCTGTCAGTATTTACTCACCCTCATGTTGTTCCAACCCCGTAAGACCTTCGTTCATCTTCGGAACACAAATTAAGATATTTAAGATATTAAGATCGCTCCTGCATACAGTCCATAGGCTTCTTGAGGGACTGGCTCTTGCTGTCCCCGAAAAGTCATTAAAGACATCGTTAAAATAGTCCAAGTGACTACAGGGGCTCAATCTTAAGTTTATCAAACGACGAGAACACTTTTGTGCGCAAAAACAACAAAAATAACGACTTTATTTCAACTTTTCGTTTATTTCTCCCTCTGCGCGAGTCAGGTTACTAGTTTAATAGCGTAAGCTTCTGTTACTGTACGTCACACGCATCACACACACATGACCAGCGTCGGCCAATAGTGAGCCTACGTGTGACGTAGCTCTACGCAATCACACTACGTTAACTGACTACAGGCCCATGGAGAAGGAAGTGAATAGTTGAAATAAAGTCGTTATTTTTGTTGTTTTTTTGCGCACAAAAGTGTTCTCGTCGTTTGATAAACTTAAGATTGAGCCCCTGTAGTCACTTGGACTATTTTAACGATGTCTTTAATGACTTTTCGGGGACAGCAAGAGTCATTCCCTCAAGAAGCCTATGGACTGTATGCAGGAGCGATCTTAATATCTTAAATATCTTAATTTGTGTTCCGAAGATGAACGAAGGTCTTACGGGGTTGGAACAACATGAGGGTGAGTAAATACTGACAGAATTTTCATTTTTGGGTGAACTAACCCTTTAAATCTGAAATCCTCCAGCCATTTCTAAGGACCAGAGAACATTCGATACACCTTAGCAACACCCTAGCAACCACCTACAACAATTTAAAATCAGACTAAGCAAATACTACAGAAAATGTAAATATCTAGCTTTCTTAATCACTTTGCAAAAACAGAATATCGATTGATTTTTAGACCATTCAAATAACTTGAAAGCATGAAAAAATAAATTGACTTTTTAACGATACTTAGAGTTTCTTTGGCACAGATTCAGAAATCCATATTCAATGTCCCATTTTTTCTTTCTTTTGCAAAACAATCTTTGAAGCAACTGCATTGTCTGCTTGTATTGAAATAGAACCCCATTAATGATTTATCTTCTACAGTAGATGATGTGTGTCAATCAGCACTAAACAAATCTGCGACATTCACCTTTACTCCCTCTTGGGTTTGGCTGTGAGGAGATGCACAAATCCTGGCACTAACACCATGACCACCTGTGGCACAATGGTGTATTTCAGAAAGAACAGGGAGTAGAAGAGAAGAGGAGGAACGGTGGGCAAAGGGAAGCTGCTGATGTAGTGGAGGGCCATGGACGAGAGGGCCAGACAGAGAGTCCTGGGTACCCATGGAAGAGCCCATCCACCTGGCTTCCAATACTGTGCAAGTCCTAGTCCTAGCAGAACCCCGGCGTCACGGTTTAGAGAGGAGAAGGGCGCAGTGTCCAAACGGATCCACTCGGCGTGAGAACACCACCTCTTAGCCAGAGAGATGGACCTGCGGGTTCACAGTGTGAGAGTGAAAAAAGTCATTCATACAGATTAGAACTCCTTAAAGGGACACTCCACCCAATTGCATTAAGATTTCCATTGTTAGAAATCCATTGTCGGGCAACACTCTCTCATTTTCCCCAGAGACGAGACGAGAGAAATCCGCTATTTACCTTTTTCACTTCCTCCTACAATGATGCAAAATCGTCATTTTACGTCATTGTAGGAGGAAGTGTAAGAGGGGGGGATTTCTGTAAAGACTACAAGCGCTAGATCTCACCCTTTCAGACCCGCCCATAGGGGGTTGGGCCTAATGCGCTAACAGACCAATCACAGATCAGTGCAGTGTGTTTGATTTCACCAGCAGAAACTTTTAGAAAATATGGACGAAGGTACTGAATACGCAGACGGATGCATTATGGATAGGGTTGGGTACCGAAACACTGGGGCTGGGTAATAAATATCGATTTCTCGATATTAATCGATTCTCATTTTCACGAGCCGATATCGATTCTTAAATCTCAAGAATCGATTAGTCATCCTGTTTCATTTGAATGAACGGGACATTGTATCACGGCTGCGCGCATCCAAAAAATCGCAATAATCTTTGTCCTTTGTTACTATTGATATGAAACAAAGTCTCAATTTTCAAATTACGTCCATTTTCTTTAGAAATTCAAAAACATAAATAGCGTTTTGGTGCTGTGGCGTGAGATCGCTCTGGAGAAGCAGCAGCGCTGATCTCTCTTCCGGCTTAATAATACCAGTTACAGCACCAAATAAACATGAATGAGCATCTGAAAGTGTGTTAAAAGATAGAGTACAACTTATCGAAATCCGTATCATGTCACATTGATTCGCTCAATCAGCGTTTCAACCGTGGAAAGACGTCAGTTAAACAGCTTGTAATCAATTTCATCGTCATATTTACCTCAGAAAACCCACATAAACTCGTTAGTCAGTTAGAAGAATAACTCTAGAGAGGAGCATTTTGCTAAATATATACACCATATTATATATGCATTATAATCTTAATGTTCTTCAATATTTAATGCATATTTGAATAAATATGGTAAGTTTTTATGACAGTCACCATTTAAATGTTTATATTTCACATAATCTTCTTACTATAAAAATAAATAAGTGTAATTTAAGTGTTTGTATAGCTACAAAACAGTTAATTATTACCTTCAAATTAGGCTCATGAAGCCTATAGGCTACAACTAGACTCCCATAGTTTACAGCATCAGTTAAGAGATTTGATTTTCTTGAGAAAATTTGCCATTTATTGTAACTGATATCCAAAATAATCAATATTGAATCGAATCGGAATCGAATTGCAAGCTTGTGAATCGAAATCGAATCGAATTGTGAAATTTGTGTCGATACCCAGCCCTACGAAACGTGGTGCCAATAGGGAACCGGTTCCGACGTGAGCGGTAATAACCAGACCGAATAAGAACGAAAGACTTTCGGTGCCTGAGTCTCTGTGTCATGAGTCTCTCCCTCGTGCGCGCATTATACTCTTGCTCGCTCTTGCTCTCTCGATCTAGATTCTAGGAGATTTTAACTAATTTGCGTGCGTTATCAATATGCGGGAGACTCCCGGAACGTCTGATAGCGAGGGGATTAATGAAGATGCCGAAGACAAAAAGCTCCAACGTTTCACGTGTAAAATTACGCGTCAGAGTAAGTGTGCCGATTGTCTGAAGCCCATATAGAATCACGCCAACCCATTGGCTGATGGCGCGGGCGCCGCATTGACGCTCTTACGTCGTCAGATTATATTAGCGCGCAGTATCTGATTTCATTGTGCGAAATGATTTCCAGGCGGTAGCGTAGAGTGGAGCTCAACTCTAGACTACATTGATGGGCGGAGTAGTGCAGAGCTGAGCATTGCAATGCACTATGGGGATTGTTGTCTAGCGCTAAAAAGTAATTTTCTGCCTTTTATCGGCCAAGAAGGAGTCAAATTAGAAATTTATGATACTATTCTACTACATGTATGACCCACTTTCAATACATATTCATGTCTCCACCGGTGGGATTACCCTTTAATGCCTGCTACAGACAATCGGCAATCCTATAAGATCATTACAAATCACACAGTACGACGTGGTCAAATTAACTTGGTTAGGACATGTGTGTTGACTGTATGATGATGACACCTACTGAATCGCAGGCTACGACGCATCAGCATCTGCTAGTGGTGAAAAAATAGAGCAAGATCAATCACAATTTGGCAATTGTGGTTTTTATGTTCGCTGAAAAAAAGAGGAAGCAGAGGAGAACATGGCTGGGAAAAGAGGCCAACTTGGCATTTTTCAAGGTGAGTAGTTAAGTTTTAGCCTCATGTCACCTTGATCAATACGTCATTTCATGTTGCATTTGTCTTGGCTAATCAGCAGATGTAGGTCGTAGCATCAAACACACTGTGAGATGATCATGATAAAGTTCAGACTGTCTGAATATTATCACAGGCTATCTTTGGTCATAAGACCGTGATAACGGCGGTCTTTGAACCTCTCACTGTACGACAGCCCAAAATCATACAATTTGAAACCGGGCCTAATACAAATATGCTCTGTATATGTGATATTTTGAGGATTAATATATTATAATTAGTGGTTGACAATACATTTTTCAATGGACCCTTTGCACATTTTATATATTATAGTGCTATAATATAATGAAGTATAGTGTTATAAAATACGTAGCTAGTTTTACAATGTTAATAACCTTAGATATTTAATTTAATTGTATTTGTAACAATTGTGATGTACTAAATATTTAGTCAATGTCACGTTGTACCCACCAAGAAAGATCAATCCCAGTCTTTTGCAGGGCACCATGCAGCACAAGCGCTCCAAAGAGCAAAGTCACGCTACAGCAAAAGAAGAACAGCAGAGGGCGACATTCAGGCACAGTCCGGTTCAGATAAATCCCCAGCAACACCCCTGCGGAGAAAGTGCATTAAGATCCTGGCTATTAAGATATGAGTATGCATGTGTGTATGGATGGATGACGTATTTATTTATGACTGACCTGTCAG